TCTGACGCCTCTACCCACTCCTCTCGCGTGTGCTTTGTGTGTGTGTGTCAGTATGCTGCTGCTCCAGGCACACAATCACACACGCATCCCATGTACATGCATCCAGCTGAATCCTCTGCCCTCTCTCTCCATCTCCACCATGGCTGCCTACTTCCTTGCACACACACACATGGCTTTTTTGCTTTTCTCCATCCCTGGCAGATCAATCTGACTCATATCCGTATTTCCACATCGTACACCTCTTTGCATGCAGATCGTGGATCCCCTGCTCGCCATGCGTTAGTGGCAGTCCTGCTATGATGCCTTTTTTTTTGCTGTCTCCACGCGCGCTAACTGCTCTCTTCGCACCGACAGTCTGCCCAGACAAGAACCAAATCTTGCTCGACGCACCCGTCCTTCGGTCATTTGCTCGTAACCGCCGCTCTTCTGACTCATTGACACGCCCATTACCAGCGGTGTACCCCAGCCTGCCACCGTCTCAACACCGACGCCGTTACGATTTGGCCGTCGTCTAGTCGACCAGAACCACATCGCCGGGTCTCGTCACACTACTGGACAGACGGTTTTTACAAAAAATCCCACAGTGGCCGTGGTTTGCAGCCCTGCCATTGGCCAATGCAAAGGGAAGATCCGCCTTCAACTTTGCGCCCACTGCTGCTACTCCTCCTCCTCTCACCGCTTCCTTCACAAGCGAGGAACCCGTCATCACACAAGCTGCGTATCGCCATCTATTTTTGCTCATGTGACTGGCTGGCGTGATGCGCAACCTTTCAAACCACGGCGCATGGGTACCAGCCCAAACAACTTTCGTCATAATTGGCCCAGTCGCCGATACTCTCGGCGAAGACTTAAGGTTTTTCTCGTCGGTTGACGACCCTCACCGGTGCGGACATTACCATTCTGCCCATGTACCATGCTGTAGAGCACTTCCTCCCACCGGCATTGACATGGACAGCAACCACACATGTAACCCACTAAAGGCGCAAAGGTTTGTCACCTTTGTGCTTCAGCACACGCAAATGGGACAAGCTGCGCGATCCAAGTGCAACATGAAGCATCCGATCCTTTTTGCACATCGCTTGCGCCATCTGTTTCGCAGGCACCCAGGCATTCGTGGATCAATATCTCCCACACAATGCACGCCGGTGTGGGACCCTGTCGATCAAACTGCAGCCTCCTGAACCTGCCGTTCATGCGCCTCGTCCGATGCGGTAACGCGGCCACCCATCTCCGGCTGTCCTGACCGTGACCTCACCCTTTTTCCGCCACTGCCGCTCTGTGCTTTTTTCCACCTTGTTCTCTGAACCCTGAAACACGGTCGCCGTGCTGACAATAGCAACCATCATCCCGCGCCTGCTTGCTGGCCGCCCTGCGCTACCCATGATTCGCGTCCTCCCCTTTGCCACTCAGCCTCATCTTATTCCCCCACCTAAACTCCGTTTCCTTCGGACATTAAGTACACTCCTGGGCTAAGCGACCGCAAACCCATATCCCAAAGCGGACTACAATGGCCCACCCTAGGATTCATGCCTCGGTTGTTGAATCCACCCTGGATTAGCCACCCCCAAAAAAGTGGTTTCCCAACACGGCGAGGCTTGCACCACCCCCAGCATATCACACCATCCGCGGGCGAACCAGGTCGTGTAACCACTCTAGTCGTGGCTGCCACACTCTAGGTCCCACTGGTGGATGCAGGCACATGTCCTGTACATACAATATGTACTTTACATACATGTCCATGTCCATGTATCCGACATTTGTCCTGGCAAGGGGTGGTATAGGGGGCCGAATTCGCATATGAACATGAATGCAGCGTGGGATCTTCCTTGCTCAAAGAACCTATTTCTGGCCCATATAGCGCGGCATAGCCACGTCTTCCAATACACCATCAAACCTGCAAGTCAGCCAGAACGCCTAGCCATTAAACTATGTGCACACATTTCTTGCACAAGGGGTGAGTTTGATAATGGTCCCGCTCCGTCTAACCGATCCCCATCTTTTCTCAGGTCCGAAACCCCGTCACACGTCGCATATCTGTATGTACAGTAAGCTCTCTCTCCAGATTCGGCATCTGATACCAGCACTTCAGCCTGATATGGCTCTTTCCGAACCTCAGCTGCATTTTAAACTTCCGCTACATGTACGCACTTTATCTGTATCGCATGCATGCACGTAAGACGGAACAAAGAGCGACACAAAGGAATGGCAGCTTGTTGCCTTGTCCCATGCCAAGACGGCGATAGCCCGAGCGCCTCGTGGAGCAAGAACGAACCTTTGGGGAGGCAGGAACTATGTGGCTGCTTACCGGCACGCTGGTTACCATGGCTGACTTGACACGCTGACCACCCATCTGACTCTTGACAATGCCTTGGAATGGTTCCCTGATATGGAGTGAACCGCTGGCTTGGTCTTGTCTCTAGCTAAACTATCGTGGTTAATGCATTCTTCCTTTGAGAGCGCCATTCAAGGCACAAGCGTCGACTGTACGAGTTGGCAAGTAGGTAAAGTATTTAGACTGGATACGAGGAGAAAGAGTGTTCAGGACAAGTCCTTGGGTCAGGTGGAAGATGTGCCTGGGTATAGCTGGCATCTGCCAGTATGCCATCTCTCTCTCCGTGTCCCCAGGTATCATGGCGGTTTGAGAGACGAGCGCTGCATCCACGATTTCACCAAACTTCCCCGCTCCATGGCGACATCTAGGCGTGCAACACTATCTCTCCCATTGTCGTCATTGTACCGCGCCAGTCTGATAAAACCCGCATCTTCTCTTCCATCCTACTCGCCGAAATATCTTCTTATCTACATACATATCATGATAGTCGTTGACTGGCTCAGCTCACTCGCTGGGTTTGGCGAATGGGCTGCTGGCCGCAAGCCCGTGGCGAAGAAGCATGATGCCCTTCGCTTTGGTATTCTTGGTGCAGCGAAAATCGCGTGCATGATCACATATCTCTCTCATTTGTCGCCATGCGATAGGTCTTCACGAAGAGGAGGTAATGAGCTAGACCTAATCTGCATTTGTCGAGCAAACGGTCCCACGGCGCTGATTACACTATCCCCACATGATCCTATGCCGATGTACTCGTCGTTGCAGTGGTAGTGCGAGACAAAGGCAAGGCAGAGGCGGAGGCATATGCGAAACGATAGGATATGCACATTGTGCATAATAGTCACGAGGGTGAGTTGAGTGTCCTTTTTCGCGTGCAAGAAATGTATGTGAAGAAATCCAATCAATCATATTGCAAGACTCACTACGAATCCCAAAACAGCTCTCATCACCTACCGATCAACCGAGTGCATATCCAACTCCCCCGCCGCCGCCGCCGCCTCGCAAACAGACTCCACTACGCCCCAAATCGCTCAGCCCTCAAAAGCCATGTACACATATTCTCCTCGGAAAAACCCATCCATCACCAACGCCCCCCAAGAAGCACGCTCACCATTGCTATCCCATCACGCCATCCTGAACCAGCCCCCATGCAACCCGTCCTACTAGACGCAAGCCACTACCGCCTCAAATCCCCCCCACCTGGCACCTCTTTCCCTTCTCCCAATTCGACGCCACATACACATCGAGCACACCGAGGCCCGCGCCGCAGTCCCTCCCAGCCGGCTTCTTCCCCGGCCACGACATCCGGGCTTCAGCTTTTTGAAATTCGCGGGGAAAGGTGTCGGGTGCTGCATTATGCAGCGAGGCTATTACGTTTATTTTTCGTCAGCCCCTCCGCAGCGTGTGGTTTTTGGATGTTGGGGGGGCTGTGAACTAGGAAGCTTGTGTCCGCTTCGCTGTTTGATCGGTGTTGTGATCGGTGTTGTGGGTAGGCTGTGCAGGTTGTGTATGCGTTTGCTGATGGTGGGACTGAGCTATTTTGTGGGGATTTGGAGGGGGGGGGGAGGCCTAAGGGGGAGGATACGGGTTTCTGTGGCTTACGGATTGCTGGACTAGTTTCCGGTATGCGGTGTTGAGTGTGCATGTGTGGTTGCGGAGTCAGGCGCTAGACGGGGAGACGGCGAGGTGCAAGACGGATGTCTTGTGGAATTTCATGGGACCGCATGTGGGGCATCGGGTTGGTGTTGAGATGGTTACTACGGTGAGGAAGGTGGGGTTGAGCGAGGTTGTTGGGGAGACGAAAGAGGTAAGGAGGTTGAAGGTGTATATGTGGAGCAGGCTGGTAAGGGATATGTCAAGGGATAGGATTGGTGGACTACGTATCGGTATATGCTGGAGGGGTTTATAGAAAGGGTCAGAGGGAATGATGGGAGCGGGATCGGGGTTGATGGTGATGAAAATATTGCGCAGATGGTTGCGACTGATGCTACGTATGAGCGTGCAGAATTGTAAGTCAGGCCGTCGAAGAAGATAGTTGATTGACATGGTGGCGGCGTGACATCAGGTACGAAGACAGCAAAGGTAACTCTGTACTATCTTGTTATCATAGAATCATCCGGGCTTCATTACTCAAAACACCTATTAAAATATCAGCAAGTTAACAATTCTATCCAGCACTGTATAACTCAAGACCACCCCGAAAACTCGATTACGTCATCCATCGTAAAAGGGGTCTCTCGGTAATTTGCACATCCCCCAGCTAGCAGGCTGAATCGGTATTTCTCCGAACCATCAATCAATAAGTATGTAATACAGTCAAAGCACAGTAAGCCCTATGCTTACATTTGCTCAACTACAAGCATGTCTCGGGCCACCGTACTCGCTCTGCCCTCGTGTTCTCACCGCAAAATGTTTGAATTGTAAAAAAAAAGGGTCCAGTGATCCCGCCCTATTGAGAGAAGAATAAATGGCTCGTTTGTATGGTATGAATGTGTGTAGTGTATACATAAAGCCAAGCGACTGGGCACATCTATAAGCTTATTTTCCTTGGCTCCTTACTTCCTTCCTTTCCAGGGTTTCTGGAAAACGAATCACACGATCAGAGTTTGAGGATTTTTTGTTGTATTCAAACGCGATCGATTAACGGTGGAAGAAACGAAAAAGAAAAAACATGAGAGTGCAACTGCTGGCGCTACTTACGAGTAGCCTGGCGACTCTGGCGTGTGCGAGAACACCTGCGTCTGCGCCGGTGAAGGACCGGCTTGGGAAGAGGCAATGGGCGTATGATGCGCATACGATCGATCAGCCGGTATGTTTTCCATCTTACATGCAGTACTGGCGACTCTTCTTTGCGTGATATTAGAGAAGAAGAGAAAAGGATAATTTTATGTTGACTTTTGGGGGTACTGCAGATTGATCATTTCCCGCATAGCGATCGCTATGTACCGCATACGAATGAGACGTTTAAACAGAGATACTGTAAGTATTTACATTGTCTGACGAAAATGAGATATATGAGCTGACGTTGCGTGTATCTTCAAGTTTTCGACAAGTCGTATTATAAGCCTGGTGGTCCGGTTTTCTTGTATCTCGGTGGAGAGACGTGGGGGGAGTGGCAGCTTGAGAATTTACAGACGGGAAGTGAGTTATTGATATGCATTCAAACGAGGGTATAGATGTGTACAGTTGAGGGGCTAACGATATGTGACTCTAGTTATACAGATTTTGATGAAAAAGTTCAATGGGCTTGGTGTTGTGCTTGAGAATCGGTATTATGGGTACAGTTTCCCATACAACACGACTACCACGGATGAATTGAGATTTTTGACTACTGAGCAGAGTAAGTGGAGAGTCTGGTATCTTTTGTTTTATGATGACAGACTAATGGATGGTAGCTATTGCCGACAATGAGTACTTTAGACAGCACGTCAAGTTTCCAGGCGTTGATGCGGACCTGAGCAGTCCCGATACACCATGGGTCATGTACGGTGGCTCTCTTGCCGGCTCACAGGTAGCCTTCACGATGAAAATGTACAACGACATCTTTGCCGGCGGTATCGGTAGCAGTGCCACCATCACGGTCCAACTCGAATATCCCAACTGGTACAAGCCACTGATGAAGTTTGGCCCTTCAGACTGCATTTCCCGCATCATCTCCATAATCGACAAGATGGACGCCCTAATCGAGAGCGGCAACACAGCCGCCATCCAACAACTCAAAGACATCTTCGGCCTCGGCTCCCTCTCCAGTCTCCAGGACTTCGCCTCAACCATCGCCTTTCCCCTCGGCGGTCCCATATCCTATCCAACAAACACCTGGCAAGAGCTCAACTGGTTCCCCCGTGACGGCTCCGACGACTTCTGGCACTTTTGCTCAAATATCACAAACCCCAACCCCCCAGCCTCCCAACTCGCCACCGACACAGCCCTCTCCGCCCACTCCAACGGCGAGCCTTGGACCGGCCTCGGCAACTACGCGGCCTACATAAAAACCGTCGTCCTCCCCCTCTGCACCACCGGCCGCATCAACAGCACAGACGACGGCTGCTTCAGCACCCAAAACGCGACTTTCTACGCCGACCCCACAAACACAAACACCCGCTCCTACCTCTACTCCACATGTACGGAAATCGCCTCTTATCAAACCGCGCCCCGCACCGGTCCCTCCCTCATCTCCCGCGTCCTCGACATCTCCTACAACCAAGCCTGGTGCAACCAATCCTTCCCCCCAGGATCCCACTCGCGCATCCCCGCTCTCCCGGAAATCCAGTACAACAACGTCTACGGCTCCTCCAACATGCGCGTTAAGAACCTGGCGTTTATTGATGGCGCGGCGGACGTGTGGCTCGATCAGTGCTACCATTCTACATTGCTGGATGGGGTAAGGATCAGCAGTGATGATTATCCGAGTTATCTGATTGTCGATGGGGGGCATATGTGGGATGGCGAGGGGATTGGGGATGTGGAGAAGGAACCGCAGTTTATGCGTGAGGCGCATTTGTGGGAGATGAGAACTGTGGGGAGGTTTTTGGAGAGGTGGAGGGGGAAGAAGAGTGGGTGAGTGGGGGGGTTTTAAGTGTATATATATTGCCGGTCTTAATTGATTTTTGCGGGTTGATATGACATTGAGGGCTTCTCTGGATTTATATTTCTTAACTCCTTTTGTTATTTCTCGCTGCTGGCAGATGATGGAACTTGTCGAGTCGCTTGGAACGATGCTGATGCTATGATAGTGTACTGGGCGAGAAACAAAGCGGTTTGTCTGATGAATCTTCTATTTCAACACGTCTTGTTAGCAAACTCGCTCATATGAAATGTTGTTGGTAGAAGAATGAGTGAACTGAATTAAACAAGGCTAGTAGAGGAGACAATATGCAGATGAAATATGCACGGTTGGAAACAAAGGCAGTACGTGCTCGAACAAGAAGGTAATAATCGACTTCACAGGGTAAAAGCAAAAAGGTCTTGAACAAGCCATCATAACAGTTTCTCTAAACAATCACACAATCTTTATTGTTTGCGTGCCTGGCGCATCCATGTGACGAAAGGGGTCAAAACTCCACCGTTGCTCGAGCCCCGTTCCTGACGTAGACCAGCAGTCCATGTGTGAGAGTGCGAAGATATGGCAGTTGCCTACGATTCGGTAACCCTCAGAATCACGCGTCCTCCTCAGAATAAGAGGGATCCTGCAGCCATCTACGGCCCATACGCTGTCGCCTTCGACAAAATTGTGGCTTGTTACTGCTGGAAGCATGCCTGCTCGGAAAATGTACTGGTTTTTGCCGTGTGTTTCTAGTTCGGCACAGAAATGCTGTATTGCGGTCCGGTAGATACTCTCAGGGGGTCCCATTGCAGACTGGGTATTACTTTGCATAATAGAAGATATGGAGCGAGTGTATGACGGATCGAGTAGCCAGTTGTATTGTGCAGGCCATGTTCTTGGATCGAGACTTGTTCGATTTGACCCGCTGCCTATCAAAGCCATTAGATCGCGACCAAAGGTTTGACCATCTAGCCATCGTGCTGACGGGCCATATCCTTCTTTTGTCGTGTTGTCAATAGTTGCAAGACAATGTGCACGGACGGTGATAGATGGTGTCAAATAAGGATCAGTGGGCCACCTCGAAGGTATGTCAACTATTGTTGTCCAATCCATCTTGGCTAGTTCTGCAGTGCTAGAAGAACTTCCGGATAGCTTTTCGAGAGACCGCCAGGGGCCTATCCTAGTTTCTTGGAATTGAGGACGTAGCGTCATGTCGCCTTGATGCTCTATCCAGTCCGGCACCCAAGTCGGTAACCCCTTTTCTGCATGCCGAGGCCCGAGAGATAATGATGCATATGCCAGAAGCTCAAAGTCCTCTCGGCAGGTGATGATGGCTGCAGCCGTACGCACCAAGACCTCCTCGATGCTTTGAGAATAGTCGATAGTGATGAGGCTTTGCAGGCGTTCGCTAACTAGTCCCAGCAGGCTGTATACTTTGTCTCTTGGATCTGTAGAGCTGGAATGTCGTGATAAGAGTAGCAATGTGAGGAGATCTCTTGTCGGGGCGCTAGCCAAAGGATCCCAAGCTAGCGGGCCAGGAACTTGTAGTCGTGAAATCTTTGCTCGCCCGCGGATCCGGCTCATCAGGTTGGCGTCCATGGCACATGATGCGTCTCCCATAATCATCATGAGTTTTCGTGCGAGTGCCACCTCCTGAATCACCCATGCTCTGGAAACCCATCTCTTTGCAAAAAGCTTTGTCAGGGCTGATTGGCGTCTCTCGCTGTCCAGCCATAGGCTCCTGGATGCGAAGCCGAGGTCTTCTTCTCCGAGGTACACCAGGACCTGCGAGGCCCCAGCATATATGTCGGCCATGAGGCCGGCCTGGTGATTTCGCTCTTCGATATTGTCATGGTTAATAGAAATGGCATCGATCCACAAGAATCTCTCCTGAGAGGGTAGTCTCAACCTGCGCAGTGCAGAAGCACAGTTTGAGGTTACCGAGAATTCCGCACTGTCTTCATCGCCTACATATGCGCAGCCAATGCGCTGAGAGAGGCTGTCGTCTCCATCTTCGGTTGCCCAGCTGTAGGAAAGTGCTTCGTACTCAATGTCGGAGTCGAGACTTGAATGGAGAAGGTCACACCGAATTGGGTCGTCAAGCGTGCCGGGATAGAGACACAGAATGCGAAAGTCCTCGCCATCCGCGTGACTCAAGGGGCGGTACCTGAAGGAGTTGTGGCCTGGCGACAATTGCGAAGATGTCCTGGGTCGCTGCATGGTGGCGACGTCTCCTGTTTGCGGGCGCTATGCTTAGATATGGCCGAAATAAAAGTTTAGTCAAGGCATGGACCCAGGCCGATCTTTCCGGATTGGGTGGTGGACGAAGTGCTGATATGAAGTCGTGGACGGTGTGCATGGCGATAGGCTCGGCCGGGTGAGTCCAAACACTATCAGGCCAACATGTTGTGGTACATACGGAGTGGCTTCTAAAAATACGGGTAATTGGTAATATTTCAAGGGGCACACGCGTTGCGGCACGATGGGAGAGGAACGGCGCTATGGTAGGGACCTCAAATGCGTCGAGGACGCGTGGCGTGGCTGCTTCTGGTGTGGCTGTGACTGCTGACGTACGCCTCATGCACCACGCCAACCGAAACCACGACCCCGAACCCATCATGAACCTCTTGGCCCATTGCTGCATCCAGACCCTATATCTGCTATATATCTGCTATGGCTACGTCATCAACTTGAAAATCCCTCTAGGGACCGATCGTAATATGTCGCTAAAGCTGCAATAGTGTCCTATATCCTAATGTGTTGAAATAAGACGCACAACTGTAACCTTTACTAGACCCTCCATAATTAGATATGTGTCAAGTGCCCATTTCTATCTATCCATTATGACAAAAAGAAACAGAGAGTGGGTTTTCACAGAAGTCTTCGTGCCCATTCTTCGTTGCGCTACCTGACCGCTACCGTTGTTGTAACGGACCGTGCCCTAGTAAGTAATGTAGAAATTGCCGCTCACACAAATTACTACACTAAGCTTGGTAGCGCATGATAGAGCTCCTCTCGGAGTTTGAAGGATCACCCTTCTTCTTGCAATTAGTTCTTGACAATCGTCACTACTGCTGTTGCCATCTCACGCTGCTTCACGTTGTTGTTGTCGTCGTTCCTCCCCTCGCCTTCCTCCTTACTCGCAACATCATTCTCGATGTCCGCTAAAAGGGCCTTACTCCAAACCACGTTCTACCTAACACAAATCGATGATGCCCGTTAGTGTCGGCCCTGGTACCTTCGCTAAGTTTGCATTGTGACATTGAGCTACAAAACAATTAATTTGAGTTGTTTGCAGACGTCTCGGCGATAGTGCAAGATTGTGCACGGCACTCTCTTTTGGAAAGGGCAGTTCTCAGATATTGCAGACGTCACCGCCGGTGCAGCAGTGCCTACCAGATGAAGCCTAGCGTGCATACTACATACTCCATATCACTCAGAAATCCAAACAAACAATCTTCCCTCCCGCTTTTCTCACACAGGCCATAGAAGCAAACCCGTCACAACCATGCATCACTTAACACAGAGTGGGAATCACCATCAAATGGAACTCGGCACATCGCAACTACGCATCATCGAGCCAAAAAATAAATTTCACCTCCTCATGAGTAAATCCACATTTGTTTGGTCAGTCTCTCGTGTGTGTATACTGGCTCTTTGTAGTACAAAGAAAGAGCGACCTCCGAGTCCCGAGCGTAGACCAAAGCGCCCCAAGGTCAACCCACATGAAGTCCGATATCCTCTGGTGAGAGTCACTAGGGAGAGGAAGCTCACAGACGAGAGAGGATACTGGGAGTGTCGCACAAAGACATTCAGGAATGGGAGGTTTCACACCACTAGGAATTGGGTTGCTGAGTGAATCCGGGTTATCGCGTCAATTGACAGTCGGGTCCAGGTTGTGTGACTGGGATATTTTAGGCATCGATTCTTATCGTGTTAGTTTATATATAATTGTGTATATTGACTGATATGGTTTATCTGAAGTGGTTAGATACAGGAATTGGCTAAGATATTCGCAGGAGTCAATCAAGGAGAAGACTTCAAGAAAGCTTCTTCGGCACTGAAACTTAGAAACTCCTTTTTTTACAGTTCAGAAATTGGAAAAGAATCAGTTTTGATGCTGAATCGTTCTTCAATAATCGGATATTCTTATCGATTCTGGAGCGGTTGTGGTCGACATGTGCGTCCAGCTCTTCGACGGATGCTACTGGTCAAGAAACCCTTGATTGTAGACAGCAGTAGTGGTGTTATCAAATACGTAATTTGATTCATGCTGTACGTTTTACATATCCACAATCCATTCCCTCATGGCTACTCTCAACTTCTCTTCCACACCCTGCTCTACCCAAAAGTGACCCGCACCTGCAACCTCTACACTACGAAACCGCGATCCAGGACTAGCTTTTAGCTGCTCAGCCCAGTCGCGGAGCTTCTTGGCAGATGCAAAGATATCCTGGTCCCCATAAATGGCCAGTGTCACGTGCTTGCCAACCGTCTCCTGGTGATCATCCTTGGACCTACTCCAAAACTTGTGCATTAGAGCTGGGGCGGCTAGCGAAGACAAAGGCGGCGTCAGTGGCGAGATGAGAAGATATCGGACGTCAGGCACTGTAAAATTTGTGTTTTCCACCTTCGTCGGCGTCGTGGCCTCGGCATTGTCACGCCTTCTGTGGCTTAGGCTCCTTAACCGTGTACGTATTTCTAGGCGAGAGCTCCCCTCCAGACTTCGTCTCACTTCTCTACTGCTTCTCCTCTTGCCCGGACTGGTCTCTTCACCGCCCATTGTGATCGAAGGGCGTGTGTTGTGCTTTGCTCTGTTCTTCCTCCTAGCTCGGGTTTCATCTCTAGCCAGCGCGACCCATTCCATGTTGCTTTGATCTGCCAATTTGCCGGCACGAAGTACAATTTCTTCAGCTGCTGAGCCTTCTAGTGGGGCAGCAAATGGCTGCAGAATGGTTGGCACAGGTGGCAGATTGCGAAGAATGAGGGATCCGTAAGAGTAGCCTCCCAGCACGACTAGAGGGCAAACGTCGCTCTGAACTGGCGCTGATTCACTAAAGTTGGGGGACAATGGGGATTGCTCCGATGCTAAGAGATTATGTGGTAAAGAAGGCTGGAGATTAGAAATGTAGTGCATGAAGAATGCTGCGAAAGAAATGTAGTCGTCCAGTTCGGGTTTCCCTGTCCAGCTCGTCCGTCCTTTGGACCCGTGTGCTCCTCTATGACAAGTGAGTCAATGGCTGTATGCTCGGGGTCCGCGTGCAAGGATCTTACCGGAAATTGAATACGCCCACGATGAAGCCAGCATTCAAGAACTCGTCAATCACGATCCCAACTATGCGATCATCAAAGCTTCCGCCCATAGGTGCGTATGGGTGTGCCATGACTATCCCTTTCCTGGTCCATTTCGCTATATCATCGGAGTTGTCCGGCCGCAGTAGGGCATCAGGTTGATATATGCGACAATCGAGCGTTGTGTCATCGTGAATCGAGGGTATCGAAAAGCTGTAGTGAGCTTCCGGTGGACGGCGCATCTTCTGGGTCGGAGAGAGACCCAAAACAGGTCCTCATCGCATTCCCGGAGTGTCGGATGCTGACAAGTATTAATGGGGAACACGTCGGTGGATACTTGGGTGTGGGGGGTTGCGGGAGCGCTAAGAAGATAAGTATGCAGGGCCGTGCGTAGCCGCGACTAAGTAGCACCATGGATGGAGACGACAAGATGGGTACGAATCCTTCTCGCATGTATACACGCGCATCATGATTATGAGTCATCTTAATTCATGTGCTACTGTTCGCAATATTCATTGAGTTGATCTGCACCACTGGGTCGAAGTGACCTTTCCCTCGCTGACCGCGCTTTAGTTACAAAAATTCCAAGTTGAGATTCTGGCAACTGGGCACATGGATGTTGAAAAGCTTTTTTTTGAGACACGTTGCTAAAATTTATGTGACAAGACCAGCTCTCATTAGCTTACATTTCCCTCTTCTACTCAAGCTTATCCAGCACAATCAATCTCCCGTCCTCCAGCCCCGCCAATCTATGCGGTTCCACCTCCTCCCTGTACTCTTTACTTCCGATGGCTTTCTTGAACCCCTCTAGAGTCTCGTACTTGAGAATTGCAACAAAATCCCAGTCTTCATTTTCTGCGACAAGAATCTTAGCCAACACGGTGCTGGAGAAGATGACACTAGTGTTGGGTGGATGTAAAGGGGCGATGGCAGCGCGGTAGCGTCCCAAGGCCTCTTGGCCTGAACATGCGTCACCGGCGAGGTGCGCATGCTCAGGGCGGTAGGAAGCCTCTTTTCGGTATTTCCAGAGGTTGAGCATATAGACTGGTTTGTTGGGGTCGTAGGTGGAGGGGAGTGTCGAGAGAGTGGCGAGCGAGACGGGATCGTTGGGCATCTTTGCTTCGAAGGCAATTGACTATGTATTTTATTTTATTTTGGCTTGATTAATGAAACGGGTAATTGGTGATTTGAATCTGCTCGTTGTTGCTTGTCGATTATATACATTGTTTGATAGCATCAAAGGATTGTGAGCATTTCTAAGCTTGCGGAGTTCCACCTCGGAAAGGGCTGCTGACTCGAGCGCTAGGCAATTTAAAGGCAATTGTGGACATGAAGATAGTGGAGTCGGCCCATCATGCGAGCAAAAGGGCGCATGTTTGTTTTATGTTAGGGCATAATGTGTTCGATTTGTGCGTATGATCAGTAGTTTCTCCAAATCCAGTCTCTCCTCTTGAACGTTCGTCTTCCAAGTATACAGTACCATCCACCTGCAGCCAGTCTTATAGCGAATTTATTCGTTTCTTGAAGTGCCAATAGATATCAAGAACTTCGAAGCTGCATCATATCACAATTGTATAAAATGAGCAATCTATTCGTCTATCCAGGCACCTCAAGCCTGTGTATACATTCCCGTTTCATCTCCCCGCCTCGCACCCTACCAACCCACTCATACCTTAAGAGTATAAACAACACTGTTCCCAGGCTGTCTAGGATAAAACTCAATCGTTAGTGTTGTATCCTTGTTCGCAGCCCGAACTGCGTCCACCGCCGCTGCCTTAATAATCACATTGTTAGCATCCCAGTCCCACTGATTGCCATAAGTCATACGGCCTTGCTGGAGAGGCCCGAGGTACTGGGTCCAGTCATCGACGAGGTATGTGCCATCTGACTTTTGCGCCTTGACGGCAGCGGGCCTATTGATGCCAGCCCATGCGACAGGGATGCGTAGGTCTTGGCCTGCGGCTGGCAGGGGACCGGAGGTGCTCGATAGCACAGGGGTAGAGTACTGGAGTACGTTCACCTGTAAGGCGGCACCACGGTTGAATGTCAAAGTGAGGTTCGTCAGGCTGCCTGTTGGCGATGAGGGCGTGATGATAGAGCTGAGATATGCGGCTTTGAAGGTGATTTCTTGGCCTGAGAGGGTGTAGTCTTTTCCTTTTGCAAGTTGCCTGCTACCCTTGCTGATCTTGCTCAGTGTATTACCGTTGAAGGTGAAACTTAGTGTGACGTCCTTGACCGTCTCATTCTTTGCGTGGTAGATGTACGCGGAACTTTGCTGCGTAGTGACAGCGCCGTCTGTAGTACTGTCTGGCAAAGCGTTTGGGATGCCTTTTATCGCATTGCGGTAGATATCCATGGCCACTTCATCCCTCCAGAGGTGTGTTGCTCGGTTGAGCAGGTCCGCTCCGTTGTCCCACAAAATTGTCGACATATTGTACTTTCCGGCGGTACGCACGAAAAAATCAAAGTAACGCCATCTTGCAGCTGTCTCTGTAGCTACAGGTGATACGGCCCACTCTCCGATGACAATTGGGACATCCGTGAAGTTTGACCGTACAGCAGCGAGATCACCTTCGAGAGAGGCCTTGTCGGCTTCGGAGCCCCATGTCGTCTTACCCCATGCTTGAAAGACGTAATCGTAAGGGCTGTAGTAATGGAACTGAATACCCCAGGGATTCTTGAACTTTTGATCCGGTTTCTTAAACCACATACTCGTCTTCACTCCATCCTCACCCGCTCCAACCAATGTAACCACTCTCTTCGAATTATGACCCCCCGCCTCATTGATCTTCTGCAAAAAGATATCATTGAGACGATTGACAATTGCCCCATGTTCAGGTGTAGTCCCCGGGATCTCATTGATTGGCTCAAATGCCAGCATCTCGCTCTTGCAGGCCAGCTTGGTCCCAATCTGCAGCCAGAGTTTACTGAAGCGTTCCTCTAAAGCTGTTACGTTGGTGCTAGCTGAGGTCAGGTCTGCCCAAGTCCAGGAGTCATGGTGAACATTCACGATGGCATAAAGGCCACGTGAAGTCACCATGTCGATCACATCTGACACTCTTTGAAGCCATACTGGGTCGACCGTCCAGTCCGGACCTTGCGAGGTGAAGTGGTAGGCCCACGTGACAGGGATTCTCACACTTTTAAAACCAGCCTTCTTCACATCGTCGAAAGTGCTAGCTACTACGGGCGGATTATTCCAGGATCCTTCTGTTTCAACAGCATCCAAGGTATTCCCTACATTCCAGCCTGGATTCAGTTTTGCAAAGAATGTTCCAGCGGAGAGGGGAGCAAATTTGGAGGTGGACGGGCATAGGACTCCAGTGGAACCGTTTGTTGCTTCGTAGCTCGTTAGTACAAAATGTCTCCATTTCCCGACATCCCAAAACCACCCTTTGTTCTCAGGAAAATACATTACGTACACTGGGCAACGGCAACAGCGCCGCTAATCAGCAGCATTGCTGCACTCGAATGTGTAATCTTCATGTCGGGCGAGAATCTGCCAAGACAACGTATAAAACCTCAGCTTAACAATACTACACACATATTACGAACCTAGTGAGAAAAAACCCAAACTATATACACTCTCACTACCCCCATCACACCATCGTATCCCCTCAAACAACCGCACTATACAACTTCAAAAAATAAATGAAGTACATATCCTCCCAAACCCACCCCAACTAGCGCCACGAGACACCCCTCCCCCTCAATCAAGCTTTCTGCCCTCCCATATTACCCCATCACGCCGCTTCGCCGCTTCGGCCGAAATTGTTTCTAGAAAATTTGTTTCCGCTCGCTGCAGCTCTGGTGCGATGGAAACCCGGGTCGGAAAGCGGGTAGGTACGAAACGGCGATTGGTTGTGAAGCAGGTACATATTAGGGATGATTTAATAAGGATTCGCCCCATCTATATTGCATACTTTATATGCGCAGGTTCCCGGACCCGGGCCTATTTTCCAAATTAATCAAGGGCCACTTGGGCGATTTTTAGTTTGGTTTGCTGTTTTTCCACCAAAGATGGTGAATTTTTTTGTGTGGGAAGGGGAGGTCACGACAACGAGGGAGTTTGCTCCTCTTCTTCTAGAATGCTGCAACTCATAGTAGTGTACATGGACGGAACACGTCTCGCGCAACAGTTTATCGATTTTTCCCTTTTTTCCTTCATATTTTCTACACTAATAATACAAGAAAGGCTTCCGTAATATCCAGAAAGAACTATGCATACTGCAAACACGTCATATCGCTCTAGGAATACAATATCTTGTCTTTGTAAACCTATGCTAGAGTTTATGTTATGTCGCTTTCCAGAGAGCGAACAAACACCATGACACCGTGCTAAAAAAAAATACCTAGTATGCAAGACTAAGTAACCAGACGGTGGAAAATAAAGAAAAAGCTACCAAGGACATAGATGAAGAAAGAAAAAGAATCAATTCTTTGACGAAGAAAAAAGGACCTGCCAAACCCCCACCAAAAAACGCCGAGATGATTATTCGAACAGAACTGTGAAAATATGTCGCCATTTTGTTGCGTGCACCGCTTGCAAGGAACTCAGAAAAAAGCGATACAAGAGGAAGAAAAAGCCATTCCTTGACGTATGCTATTGAGGAACCCAGAAAAAGATGAGTCGGGAACATCAAATGTCTTCGTGCCAGTAAGGAGACGATTGTTGACATCCCGAAAACGGTTGGCTTCGTTTCGTCTCGTGTATGCATGCAAGTCGATATGCGTTATAGATCAACGCGTCGTTTGAAAGTGGGTCTCGCCATATGTATGTATGCAGATCCCATAGAAAGGCCGAAGGCGCGGAATGTAAAAGTTCCATGTTAGGAACTACTCAGGACGTGGCCTCTTAGCGCCGTGTGGGTTTTGCCAGCTGCCATCGTTACCGCCCTGGCCTTGGAAGAATCCTGGATTAAAGCCTGGGTTGGCGCCAAAACCACCTCCTGCAAAAATAGCGTTAGCCAGTGTTCAAGACATGAAATAAAAAGCGTGGAGTCAAGTCACTAATATGAGAGTGTCTCAACATACCCATTCCTCCCATCATTCCCATGTTGCCACCGCCCATACCCATCATATTGGTACCCATGCCCATCATGTTGCCGCCCATTGGCATGTTCATACCACCCATAGGAGCTCCGCCCATGGCGTTCATGCCCATGTTGCCGCCACGGCCACGGTTGCCCATGCCACCCCGCATGTTACCACCCATCATGCCGCCGCGGTTGAAGTTACCTCCAAAGTTGTTCATGCCCCCCATGGGGTTGCCAAAGTTGTTCATCGGAGCTTGTGTGCCATAGCCTCCCATATTACCTCCCATGTTGCCACCAGCAGGCGAGAAATTGCGATTGTTCTGGTAGCCCATGCCGCCACCTCTGTTGAAGTTTCCTCGGTTATTGTTGTTATACCCGCCCCTGTTGTTAAAGCCACCACCCTGGCCACCAAAGTTACCAGATGAAGCACGATCGTTCCTGCCCTTGTCTCGTGCGGGTACGTCCTTTGGTAGCGTCTTGAACGGGTTGACATGTGGGGGACTGAAGATGGCGGTCGGTTTTTTAGTATGGGCTTGGTCTTTGAACAAGGTCTCAATTTGATGCTTGAGAGCAGTAGCTGCTTGCGGTGAGTTTAGTAGGGTAAAAACTTGACTACAAGAGATATCAGTAACAAGTTGCTCTAACATCCGCAGGAAACCAACCCTTTGCTCTTTCCATTGACCTTGTGCTCATTAAAGGTGACTTCAATGAGCTCGTCTTCACAACCACTCTGGTTAGCCCATCCACGAATATCCTCTTCGCTAATCCACCAGTTGACGTCGTTGATCATCAAAGCGGCTGTAGCTCCGGGATCGGTGGGGCGATCATCGTCCTCGCCTTGCTTTCGCTTGGTGCCCTGCTGCTGAGGTGCCTGCTTGTGAACATCGAGACCGGATGCGCCTCCTGTGGATGCTATCTGTTGTGTGCTCTGGTCGTGGTGGCCGTTTCCGTTGGTTGCTTCACCTGGACCTTTGAGGTTGGTTGTCTGATCTCCCATTTCGGTAGCCGCGTTCTCTTGTGCGTCGTTTGCGTTGGCTACATTGGCATCTGCGTTTGGGGCATTGGCGTCGGTTACGGTGGTATCATGCTGTGCGGTCGAATCTTGGTACGAGTCATCTCCGTAGATGTCGATGTCGAAGTTGTCGTCGTCAGCCATGTTTGCTGTGATATGTCAAGTCAACTGCAGTAAGCGATGATGTAGTTTCCGGTATTCTCTTTTGATTCGCTCTTAGGTACTCGATGTGCTAGTATCAATAGCCAAAGTACATGCAATTCTGTGATTGGCATACAAATCAGCATGATAAGACAAGGGAGTATTGCAAAGAAAATAAGGCGCCTGCAGTGCGTCCCCGGGCGATGGCGGTACAAGAAAACAAACAGCGTAGAGTAAGGCCATACGTACAGTGCCGCAGTCGGCGTAGTGACAAGGTCTAGAAGGACCGTTCAGAGCAAGAAGGGATAATCCGATCGCCTCTGGCAGATGCGGAGATGTAAAAGGTACAGGATATGGTGAGAGAGATGTAGGATAGGGTAGTGTCAAGTAGTGTAATGCCTCAGCCCGCCTCCTGCGCTTGCTTTGCCCGCCCCCAGTACAGTGTGCTTGTAGCGCCGCTGTAGTGTACAAAGCCCTTGAGAATTGACGCAGCGCAAGACGGTGCGCTGCAAATAATGAGAACAAAAGATGAACAAAAGTAAGGGTGAGCTTCAGTTAGTATGTGCAGCAACCCAGCGCGCTCCCTTTTGGTCTTCCGCGCGATGTGTGGCGGCGATGCAAAGAGCCAGACTGCAACCGTTGGGCCTGGTATATCGGGGGCAATCTGTTCAGTAGTAGTGAGTGTTGGCCTGGGCAACAAACCTGACAAGACTTGACGGATTCGAGCAGTGTCGGCGCGAGTGAGGATGGGCGTGAGGGACGAGGACGTGGATGCGATAGCTCGAGCCGCTAGCGCTGCCAGTAGCGTGCTTGGCAGCCCGCCAACCCCTGTTCGCTTTCTCCGCAAGGCCAGATTGCTGTCGTCCGCCGGCTGGCAATTTACCAGCTTCCATCCATTAAGTCGTGACTTGTCCCTTCCACGATACTTTGATCCTACCGAACAACCCTTTCGAACAACCCTTCTCGTATCACAATCGCACATCAGTCGCCATGGAAAACATCAAGGAGTTTGCCGAGTACGCAATGCCCCGGCGCACATATAACGTGGGCTTATGACGGACTAACAATACGGCGCAGTATGCCCGCTGAGTTCCTCAAGGAGGGTACTCTCTTCATGAACCGCTGCACCAGTACGGCCCTCTGACTCTTCAACCTCACCACAATTGGCCACTGACCATACTACAGAGCCCGACAAGAAGGAGTTCATCAGGATATCGCAAGCCGTCGGAATCGGTTTCCTGATCATGGGTCAGTAACACCATCACCCGCCACAGCATCCTTTCACGTCGCAATCATCTGACCCGTCCTCACAGGCGTCATTGGCTACGTCGTCAAGCTTATCCACATTCCCGTCAACAACATCCTCGTCGGCGGCTCATAAATTACCACCCCTCACACCAAAGAGCATCCATCTACTTTCCCTCGGCCATACGACCGACTCGTTTGCCGTATCCATTTTATAGTTGTGTTTAGCGACTAAGGGCAGAGAAGGCCACGTTGCGAGTTCGGACGCTTGGCTATCGGGCATGACATATCTATGGCATAGGGCTGTACAATACCGACATTGGGTCAGCGGGAGTTTGATTATATCCACATTTACATTTTGCAAACTATACTTCTAATGTCTGCATTCTTGATACGTGCGTGAGGTGATCGTACATCGCTTTCGACATGGTTGATACAAAGGAGCCAAAGTATGTGAAGATGAGAGTTCCAGTCACGCCATCCTTAAAGTCCGTTGAAATGACGCCCATGTTGAAATCGAAATCGACAAGATGACACGCACAGAGATGCATCAACTTGAACGACATGCAAGCACGGGGGGTCTGCGCAAGCAAATCATACAGTCCGCTCAATCATCATCCATCATGTCCTCGTACCAAACCGGATGTCTTCTCGACCGGCCCTCGTGACTCTTATACAGCCGCTCGTCATGCTGTAGTTGTGCATTGACACGGCGGCCAACCTTGGGTTCTGCCTCATCATCCTCAACACCATCGTTCCACGTGTGAACTGTGCACGTTCCTTGTGAGGTACCCCAGCCGTTCCAAGATGTCGCTACATATTTGTTAGCAAAAACTCACACACCAATCGATCACAATCATAGAAACCCACCTGCAATCATGGGCGCATTGGGATGCCAGCTTGCATCACGAACACACGTCATCCACTTGCCCTCATTCCGACCCCAATAGTCATAGGTTCCAGCGAGTAGATCTGGATCCCGCGGTCGCGAATTCTTGGTTGCTTTCAGCACGTTGACCTTGCCAGCAAGCGTAGCATCCATGTTCCAAATGTACACCGAACCGTCGTAGCTACCTGAGTACACATATCGCGAGTCGGTACTACCAGGAGGTGAAAAGTGACATCGAATCAGTGTTTTCAAGACCTTGTGTCCGCGGAAAGTGACAAGCGAACAATCGTGCGGGTGTGGGCGGAAGTCGTCGTAGTCGTAGCCGTTGGATCGGTACTCAAAGCGCGTCGTATATCTGTACGGATCGATGGTATCGGCCTTCTCTTTGGACACCATTTTTCTCAAATCCCACAACTTTGCAGTTTGATCTTTTCCATTACTGAGTACATATCGACCATCTCCTTTGCTGTCAACATACGTCAGGCCTTCGGTATGGCCAAAGAAAACACCAGCTTCTCGGCCATCTCCCATACTTCTCCGGTCCCACACCTTGAGCGTTGTATCGTCGGATCCAGAGTAAAGGATATGTGGTGATTGAGAGTCGCCAAAACAGACTGCGTTGACATCATCCTGATGGCCTGGTATGCGAAGGACCGATTGCCTTCGTTCAATGTCATAGACATATACTGAGCTATCTCCAGTTCCAGCTACAATCTCGCGACCGTCGCCCGAAAAACGTATTGACCAGATCTAGGTTTCATCAGCCAAGACCGCATATCCAATCTTACTCTGACTTACACCAAAGTGCGAATGGAAGCCTCGTGGATTTGATGTACCCATGTTGTTGAAGTCGAGCATGTGAGGCTCCGAGTCATCTTCAGGATCTGTAGGTGCTAGGCTCACGATACTTCGGATTGAGCTGTAAGCTAAGAATCGGTTGTCGGGGCTAAGTGAGGCATCTGTAATTGTCCACTGCCCACCATGGTATCTCACAGTCTGTAACCAATCAACTTTGTTGCTCCCAAATTGCAATTTCACTGCTTACCTTGTAGTATTTCCAATCGTAGGGGTTCGAGGTATCGTACATGCGCACTTTGAAGTCCTGTGCGCAGGAAAAGAAAAAATTGCCGTCATCTGAGAACTGTCCTGAGTAGCACCGTGCGTTGTAGTGAATAATGGTATCAGCAACTGATTCAGGTATCATATCCTGCTTCAAAAGCCTTGTGGCGTTCTTCTGTCGTCCATCACTACCAATACCCAACTCTCGCCTCATGATATCGTAGGCCAACCTCTTTTTCCTCTTTATTGTGTCCTCTCTTCGAGGATTCGATCCAAAGGTACCCGTCTCCATCAGTTCTCTGCCCTGTTCACTTGGTACCTTTTCCAGCAAGTCCCTGCCACGAGGGCGGCGCCTTCTACCAGAGGTCCCTGTAGGCACAACGGGATCATAGCCAGTGCCAGGGTCGCTGTTATCGTCATCGTCGTCGTCATCTTCCTCCTCATCGTCGAGCCGGCGTCGTCGCAGCAGAGAGCGTTGTGAGAAATCGGCGGCGAATATTCGCCCCAGTCCCGCGTGTCCAAGCAATTGCATGATCTGGTCGCGGGTGATCATCACTGGTCGTTGGGGAAGTTCCATATCGTCTTCCTCCTCCTCTTCATTTTCATCATCGTCTTCAACTTCATCGTCATCTTCCTCTTCCTCTTCCTCCTCTTCATCATTGTCATCGGTGTATTCAAATGCGATTTCAACTCCACTAAGATTACTCAGTCGCTCAGCAGCATCTTTGCATAATGTTAGCAACCACAGCACAATCATGGAACGCTTTGCAATAGATACCATGGAAACTTGAGTCGCCCTCTCCTTCTTCCTCGTCATCATGACCTTCCTCTGCGGGCACAAAGTCCATGTCGTCATCATCATCCTCGGTATCTCGCCAAAACGGATCATTCGGATCGTATACGATGGTCCTGGCATTTTCAAGTTCGCTAGGCGGACTAGTGGGAACCTGCGACGAGCTCATGTTGGTGGATTGAGCTCTGAAATGAGTCGCAAGTGGCGCCGAGGCAACATGGTGGTGATGATCGTAGTGAGCGGGAGCTCTGGACTAACCTCGGCGATAAGGCCTATCACCGATGACGCCAATCGAGCGCCTTATCGATATACTATACGCACTGGCACCAACATAGCGCGTTCTTACGTAGGTATAGTTTACACTTGCGAATTCTGTTTTTAGGTAGCATATCATTTGACTATTTCTCAAATTACTGTTATGGTGACAGTGGTGCGCTTAAAGCGACTAGCCCCCAATCTCACAGCTACGCAGGAACAGCACATCACTACCAACGGGGTATCGAACTATGAAGGCCGTAGCAAAATAGTAGTGTATTCAAGCTGTTAGAGCTGATTTGCAATACCTATCGATCCGCCACTAAAGAACATACTCAGTATGTATCAACATCCTGATGTGAAATCAAAAGCTCAGGATCAGGATCGTCGTCTTCCGAATCAAAGTATTGTTGCTTGGACGGGGCTGGTGGCTTTGGGGACTGGGTGATCCTGATAGCTGATACGGTCATGTCTTCGGGTTGCTCAGCTTGGAATCCATCTTGATCTAGTAGTGGCTCTGTGGCCTTCTCTTTGCCCTTCCGCTTCAACCCTAGAGCCTCTTCTAACATATTCTTTCCTTGTGTGAAGGCCTCTAGCTCTGCTCCGATAGCACATACCAACAGATTCCAACTTCGCGAAGAAGCAAGCTCTAACTTTTCTTCTAGGTAGGATATAGTTTTTTCCATCTGGTCGAGGAGTTTAGATGATTCAGGAGGGTTCTTTCGTCCCGCTTGTTGCATATAGCTTTGCAGGCTTGCTTCATAGTCCCCGACTCTCTTCATTACATCTGACCATAGAAGTGCTCCTTCGTCAAGCGCCCCACGGTCTGTATCGATCTCTTCGCATTTCTCAGCTAATCTGGTGTATTCATCCTGCCAGTACTCGCGTGCCATTTCAAGCGTTCGTCGTTTTGCGGGAAGCGTAGGGTATGGGGAGGATGATACAGGTACGTGGTTCGGATCTACAGGTCTCGCGAGAAAGTTCGAGACTTCGCGATCCAATAATGACAGTGACGTCTTGTAAGATGCTATCTTCGCTTCCACTGAGTTCTCAGTATCGGCCAGTTCATCCAATACCCGTCGATGCCGTCGTTTAAGCGCCCACAACTCCTCTTCCTTCTGCCGTATTTCTTGTTCAAGCTTTGAGGCCTCTGTTTGTAGACTGCGCGTCTTTGCACCGGCATCCTGGCACTCTATTTCTCGGATCTTCTTCTCGAGCCGTGTGCGCTTCTGGCTCCATGCATCTGTCTTCTCGACTGTGCTTTGCACTTTCCTTAAATCTTCATCTAATAAGTCGAGCTCTTCAGCCTTGATGCTTGCGAGTTGCTTCATGCGCCTAGATATGCCATTTCTTGCCGCTTGCAGTCCTACCTTTTTCCGCCGGGGCTTAGGCAATGTCTCTCCATTTTCTGCGCTTTTGTCGCTAGACCTGACACTACTGACAGTCGGTGTGGTACTCCCGTTCGACACCAAATCATCTGGTATATTGCTTCCCGCTCCCAGCCCGGCCATCAAACCATCTGCCTGCGCATCGAGCAGCTCTTGCAGCTGTTGTTCGAGGTGTCGCGCTCGCCGTTGTAGAGCTAGCAAGTCGTCGGGGACTCGAGGTTGAATTGGAATGTTTGCTTTTGGCGCCGTCCATAGTATCGAGGACGTTACGGGAGGTGGTATACGTGGAGGCGATGAGGAGTTGTATGATGGTAGCTCATGTTCATGCGCGTGCGGGTCTTCGAAGGACTTTCTAAATCCTGACGGTGGAGAGAGCGAGCCCAGTACTGAGTTTAAGATAGACATTATGCTTGGTCATTAGAATGTAATTTGGGAAGCGATAGGGGTGTAACTGGATTGTTGAGGTTTTGTTCGTGGTGCTGTTCGCGTGAGACATGTGCTATCATTGCCATGTGAACGAGTCATGCGCATTCAACAGTCTCTTAGTCAGCCGCACTGTCACAACCTACTCGTAAACCGTAGTGACAGCATGTCACGTCGACACTTATACACAGCACTTTTGCATAAAATTGATTCAAATTTCCCTACCATGTGGGATGCTGTGAGTTTTGCCCTGATAAACTAACAAGTAGTTGAAGGAATTACATCATACCCAGCATTGACATTCAGACTTTTCCAATTTCTTATCCTTTAGCAAAATTTTCGGCATGCGCAACGCATCAATAATTGCTAGAATGATTAGTTTCATTGTATTTAAATAAAGCCGCCACTGGTCTAGTTAGAGTTCAAGTTCAGCATGTGTCCATGGGCAGAGCATCCACTACTGGCGCCAAGCCATATACGGTTAGCGTCTTTTTACCCACAGACTAAACGAGGTCGAATTCCATCAATTTCGCGACCTCGACTTCCGCGACAACAGTACTAACTCCAGGAAACACCAAATCGTACGCTCTCCAACCCTCCTGTTACTCTGTCAAATTGCTAATCCCAGAATCAGCAGCCGTATACCCCACCCGACATACAAAATGGCTGACGCTCCTGCCCCCGCTCGCGGCGGATTCGGTTCTCGTGGAGACCGCGGTGGTGACCGTGGACGTGGTCGCGGACGTGGCCGTGGCCGCCGTGGCGGAAAGTCTGAAGTACGCAAACATAGTCGTTGAAGGGAAATGTTGCCGGAAATTGACAATTGGTACAGGAGAAGGAATGGCAGCCCGTCACCAAGCTCGGCCGTCTTGTAAAGGCTGGCAAGATCAAGAGCATGGAGGAGATGTATGTTGAGCCGGACAACGGAAGTGCGAGAGAATTGTCTGACAGCGTGTAGCTACCTCCACTCTCTCCCCATCAAGGAGTACCAGGTCGTCGACTTCTTCCTTCCCAAGCTGAAGGACGAGGTCATGAAGATCAAGCCCGTCCAGAAGCAGACCCGTGCTGGTCAGCGTACCCGCTTCAAGGCTATCGTCGTCATCGGTGACTCTGAGGGTCACGTTGGTCTCGGTATCAAGACCTCCAAGGAAGTCGCGACCGCCATCCGCGCCGCTATCATCATCGCCAAGCTCTCCGTCGTCCCCATCCGAAGAGGTTACTGGGGTACCAACCTTGGTGAGCCTCACTCGCTCCCCACTAAGGAGAGCGGAAAGTGCGGTTCCGTCACTGTCCGTCTCATCCCCGCTCCCCGCGGTACCGGCCTTGTCGCCTCGCCCGCCGTCAAGCGTCTCTTGCAATTGGCTGGTGTCCAGGATATCTACACTGCCTCTTCCGGTTCAACCAAGACTCTTGAGAACACCCTGAAGGCTACCTTCGTTGCCGTCGCCCACACCTACGGCTTCCTTACTCCCAACCTGTGGAAAGAGAACGCTCTCCGCCCCTCACCACTTGAGGAGTACAGCGACATTCTCCGTGAGGGAAAGAGGTACTAGAGGGTGTTTTTGGGTGACATGGGTCTTTTCTAGCATTCCTGGGTTATGGCGCGGGGCATTACATTCGGCGCCTCACGTATGTATCCAACGATAGTGCTGGGTCAACTGGCATGAAAATGAACAACTTTCAATGATGACCTTGAGGTTCTGGTTTCCACGTGTGTGACTTTTGCATACAATGTTCAGCTATGAGGTGCTTGGCGGGCATGGGAAAATCACATGCGTGTAACGACAATGACGGAAACCGCCTGGGTACAATCAATGAGAAACATTTGATGTTGCTGGGAGTCGATACCTACAAAATACCTAGTCGCGTGCTTGTCAACAAATGTGGCAATGATAGCCTAACATTCAGTGAGATAGCAAAATTCAGAATGCATTTAACTTTCTATCTCGCTGCGACATGAGCACTATTGTATTCAAGATCCCTTACTCGCCCTGCAGCGGCTGGCCATTTCCACCCATAGTAATGGTCTTGGTAACAACATACTCGTCAATACCCATATGGCTTCCTTCGCGTCCAAATCCAGACTCCTTGACGCCACCAAAAGGTGAAGCAACATCTGAAATGAGACCTGTGTTGACGCCAACCATGCCCACCTCCAATGCCTCGGCGACTCTGTACACTCTCTGAATATCGCGGCTGAAGAAGTATCCAGCAAGACCCACATCGGCCTCGTTGGCAAGCTTAACGACGTCGGCTTCAGTCTTGAAGGGGAAGAGACCCGCTACAGGACCAAAAGTCTCGTCCTTTGCAAGTTGCATATCCTTAGTCATGTCACGGAGGACAGTGGGCTGGTAAAAGTTTGCACCGAGATCTGGGAGTTTCTGGCCGCCATGGAGGACCTTGGCGCCGTTCTTGACAGCGTCTTGGACGTGTGCGTCGACTTTTGATACGGCGCGGTCGTGGATGAGGGGACCGTGTGTGATGCCCTCTTCGTATCCACCGCCGACCTTGAAACTCTGGACCTTTTCTGTGAACTTGGTGCAGAATTCGTCGTAGATGCCGGATTGGACGTAGATTCTGTTGGCGCACACACATGTCTGGCCTGAAGAGCGGAATTTGGATGTGATGGCGCCGGTTACGGCGGATTCGAGGTCGGCGTCGTCGAAGACGATGAAGGGTGCGTTTCCACCCAGTTCAAAAGAGAGTTTCTTCAGGGTGTCTGATGATTGCTTCATCAGAAGCTTTCCTACACCTGTGGAACCCGTGAAAGAAACTTTCTTGACGGTCTTGCTTGATGTGATTGTCTCGCCCACCTCTGGAGTGTTCTTAAGGGCCGTGACGAAGTTTACTACGCCCTTTGGTATCCCCGCGCGGTGTGCAAGCTCAGCCAGGGCAGCAGCGGTAAAGGGAGTCTCACCAGGAGACTTGGCCACGACTGTGCAACCAGCCGCCAGTGCTGGACCAATTTTTCTTGTAATCATGGCTGCTGGGAAGTTCCATCTATCCATGTTAGTAATGCTGGCTATACCTACTTTCAACCATGTCTCAATACTTACGGTGTGATCAATCCAACAACGCCGACCGGCTCCTTGATTGTGAAAACCCTGTTTCCAGCAATTGACGCTGGAATGGTAGTTCCATAGATTCGCGGCGCTTCTTCCGCGAACCACTCATAAAAGCTCGCAGCGTAGTTGACCTCCCCCTTCGCATCTGCCATGGGCTTTCCATTCTCCCACGTTATGAGCTTGGCCAGGTCCTCTGCGTTGTCCATCATGAGCTGGTACCATTTCCGTAGCATACGTGAGCGCTCGCGGCCGGTAGTTTTGCGGAAGGAAGGAAAAGCTGCAGCTGCAGCAGCGATGGCAGCTTCGGTATCGGCGCGATCCATCTCAGGCATTGTGCCAATGAGTTTGCCTGTTGCTGGATCTGCGCAATGATAAGAATAGGCCCATGCCAAACAAGGACAGGAGAATTACCGTGGACCTCGAAGGTCTTGCCAGACTTTGCGTCTATCCATTCTCCGTTGACATATGTCTGGTTCTTCAGCAGCGACTTGTCGTTGAGCTGTAGGTAATGTTAGTCTGATAGGGACAAGAGTTGATGGAAGCTACTAACATACCGGTGGTACTGAGTGTCCCATGTTTGCGTATCCTCTTGAAACAATTGATGGCAAGGTTATCTTCTGGAAGTTATTCCTGTAGGCTGGCTGTCGTGCAAGTGATCGAGTGGCAGTTACGAAAGAGCGCATTGCTATCTCTGGGGGGGATGAAGAGAAAATATAAAATGCCGCGACTTTGGCCGATCTTGAGACGGCCCACGTGAAATTATTAGGGCAAGTTTAGTCCGCCTACAGAGTCCAGACGTCAATTGCTAATCACCGTTAGGTTGGGTGTTGAGCAGAACTGCGGCAGCCTATGACGTTTGAGAGAGCTATGGCCGAAATGCGGGGTTCTGTGTTCTCCAAGAGCTCAAGGTGGGACGGCAGCGAACAACTCCGAGGCAAAGTCAAGTGGATATGAATAACACGGAATTGCGCAAAATGCTATCTGATAAATTTCAATCACAAAAAAAGATGGATTTTGAGCAATATCGTACTCTGGCATAGACGTTTGTGCCGATTTTCCAATATCTTTACAACAGAGACTCTACGCGCCGGCAGCGTATAGAGCGTATAGGGCGTATGGAGCGTCAAGGGCGTGTAGTCGGTTGAGCGCAAAATAAGATTGGCAACCATTTAGTTGTTACATGGAAAGAGAGAGAAGTGACTCACAGTTGCCTGCACCAACAAAAGTATCACGCTGTGGTCGTAGAAGGTATCTTGAAGATGTAGGAAAAGAAAGGAGCGATACGTCACCACGGCGCCGTATGGACGTGTAGTCGTATTCAGATCATCATGAACTTTTCTTCACTGTAATCAAGATTCAAGCTATGCTTTACATGATTATGTGCCACGGTTGTTGTAATGTGATGATCCGAAGCGTCGATGGGCATCGCTTATGAGGTGTGCTGCGCTTGGTGGTTGCGATGTTCGTCGCACTACAACACAAGTGCAATTTGACCAAGTACATACCACCACTGCTCCAGCAAAAGCACTCCATTACACATTCCGCAGAAAGGCAGCATGGCCATTCTGTTTATCATATTTTTCCGTTCATTCTACATGAACCTAACGTCAATTCGCAGTGTATTCACGATGGCCCACATGAGAGTGTCAGGACGAATTCGCAGAGACTTGCACAATCATGATCATGAAATAGATTTATTGCTGTTGAATGATGGAAACAGTGCTGAGCATGGTACGTTCCGGGCGTCACTGTCCAGGGGTGCTTGCGAGGATGGAGTCGTCCTGGCACGTGGCGCACGTGCGTGGTTCGCCCTTCCCCACAGATGCCAGCGAGCTCTAATGGCGTTAAGCTTTTAGAGCCGCATGTCGATCATGCAGGAACAGACGGCAGGAAGAGCTGTCAAAGAAAAAAAGAGAGCTCGAATAGCAGTCCAGAGTCGGCCAGGAGACTCCCGAAAAGTTGCCGAACTTGCCTAATTCATATTCCGACGTTGATTTTCGGATCTTTTCACGCGTATTGAATTATTAAATGTTGAGAAACAAGGTGCATTCTTTATTGTCGTGATTGCGGCATCGAAGAAGAAGCATTCCCTGCTTTAAAATCGTGTTGGGTTTTAGCGCGCTTAGGATTGGGTGAGCAGCCAACATTGGGTCAACCAGCTCCAACGCGGCGCTTCCCCATCAACCACACGCCCCTCAGCGACATCATCTATTAGGACTTCCCTGCTTCTCGTGGATTTTGGAGGGGTCTGCCATTTATCATTTGCCTTTCGCGTCCATTTCTGCATCCTTTGTGTTTGTGCATCGCGCACCCGCAGGCGCACACCTATTCACAACAACACGACACACGGTCGACCAGCAGTCAGCATCGCGCGCATTATTGCCGTCATCGGCGCACATGCACGACAGCCTTCTCTGCTACTAATGCAATCGTGAAAGTTGACAAATACCCTATTTGGGCGGTGTAAGTGCGCCCTAGCTGCGACGCATCGGATCCCCTTCACTCACCGCGCTACCCAAGGAACGCAACAGCTTCACCGCAAACGAGTCCCTATGTCTAACCGATCGAAGCGCAAGTTCGACATCGACCCCAACGCATCCGATCCTGACGACTTTGATTACGACGATTCGGAAAGACGCGCAGCACCTCAGCGCCGTCGCAACCGAGGCACGCCGGGGGCCAAAAAGAAGCCCTCGAAGCGCCAGCGGCGCGTGTACAGCGGCTCTGACATCGACGACGACGACGAAATCGAGTCGGACGACTCCTTTACCGAGCGTTCCGAGTCAGAGGAGCCAGAAATCAACCCTGCGACAGGCAGAAGCGTGCGTCGCGCCACCAAGAAGCAGATCAAGTACGAAGAGAGCGAAGACGAAATCGAGGACACACCCTCGGAAGACGATTCGCCTAAGCCTGCCTCGCGACGCCGTGCACAGCCATCCATCGAAAAGGTTGACAAGCCATCACTCATTGTAAAGCTGAAGATGCCCGACAACAGCTCCAGTCGCAACCTGCGCACTCGTACCGGCAGCAAATCACTTGCGCGCGGAAGAACACCAGAGGTTCATGGAACTCGACGTAGTACTCGTCTTTCTCATGATATTGAAGAACCTATCGTCGCACTCTCTGACTCGGGCAAGCATGTCACCGTCATCCGTGAAGGAACCCGCAGTCCTGAGCCTATTGCGCGCGCAACAAGAGGAGGCAAGGGTCCCAAGATCGATCATCCTAGCGCCATCATGGAAGCCTCGCAAGAGACATCAATGATCCACGATGACACTCCTGGTCCCCTCGACACCATCATTGCTGGCACTCAGACCCAAGTGGAGGCAAGCAAGGACAGCTCACCTGCGCAAGATGCGCAAGACGAAGATGCCGAGGGTGAGGAGGACATGGAAGGTGTGATTCAAGAATCTCAGCACGACGAAGGTGCTGCTGAGGACTCTGACGAGGAGGGTCCAGTGGCTCGCAATGGCCGTAATCTAAGGGTGCGACAGTATTCGACTCTGAGTTGTGTGTTCAAACTGACCAGTCTTCTAGAACCGTGCTGCATCATCCAAACGCAAGCGTGCCGCCGACGAGAGCAGTGACTTTGAACCCCCCGCCGAAGACGAAAAAGAGGAAGAACTATCTGAGTCCGACAATGACAAGGGCAAGGCGTCTGCATCAGAAAGCGCTTCAGGCTCAGGAAGGCGGTCGAACCGCCTCCGAGGGAAGACTCGTCAGTCCCAGCGTAGCAGGCGCAACTCATCGTCTGAAGAATCGGGGTTGGATCAAGATGAATTGCAGGATGAGCTTCAGGACCTAGAATACAACAAGAGGCGGCGACTGAGCCGCCGAAAGCCGGATGAGGATCTGGCTTATGACTCGGTGCCCAAACGTCGAGCCCGTAACACTGGAGTAGACTACCGTGTCGTCCGACCAGAGATGAACACCATGTTCGACAATGACGACGATCCTCCCGTTGCCGACAAACCACGAGCAAGAGGTGGCCGATCCACATACAGGAGCCTCTGGCGCAGCCAAGGTCCCTTTGGTGGTGGTGTCGAAGCTGGCCTGGGCGCAGCAGGCGGTGACTCTGACAGCAGCGAGGATGAGAACCAGAAGATGCCTAAGCCAGCTGGTGGAATGATTGGCATGACTCCAACCACAGCGACGGCCCCTGGGTTCGGGTTTCCTCAAACTCATAATGCTGACCCACAACAAGCCTCTGGTGGTGGCCCAGCAAATCTTGGTAAAGTCAAGGACAAGAAGGCTCTTGCGGACGCGGATCCTCTGGGTGTCGATCCAAATGTCAATTTCGATGGAGTAGGTGGTTTGGACGACCACATCAACAAACTGAAGGAAATGGTTATGCTTCCATTGCTATACCCTGAAGTTTTCCAACGCTTCAAGATTACTCCTCCACGAGGTGTTTTGTTCCACGGACCACCCGGTACCGGTAAAACACTTCTTGCCCGTGCTCTCGCTTCCAGTGTCAGTACGCATGGGCAGAAAGTTACCTTCTACATGCGCAAAGGTGCCGATGCCTTGAGCAAGTGGGTGGGAGAAGCTGAGCGGCAGCTTCGTCTTTTGTTCGAAGAAGCACGGAAAACCCAGCCTAGTATCATCTTCTTTGATGAAATCGATGGTTTGGCACCCGTTCGATCGAGTAAACAAGAGCAGATTCATGCTTCAATTGTCGCGACACTTCTTGCCTTAATGGACGGTATGGATGGTCGTGGGCAGGTCATTGTCATAGGTGCTACCAATCGACCTGATTCAGTAGATCCTGCACTTCGACGTCCAGGACGATTCGATCGAGAGTTCTATTTCCCACTACCAAATGTTGCAGGTCGACGAGCCATCATCGACATTCATACCAAGAACTGGGACCCACCTCTAAAGCCGGATATGAAGGATCAACTTGCAGAGCTGACCAAGGGCTACGGTGGTGCCGATATTCGGGCCTTGTGCACAGAGGCAGCCTTGAACGCCGTGCAAGGAACATACCCTCAAATCTACACATCCGAGAAGAAATTGTTGATTGATCCTAGCAACATCAAGATCCTAGCAAAGGATTTCATGATCTCAGTCAACAAGATGGTTCCTTCTTCTCAGCGAACCGTCACAGCAAGCGCAGCGCCATTGGGCAAGAACATCGAGCCGCTGCTGCGGAAACCCCTTGAGGCAATCATCAAGCGTATCGACGAACTCATTCCTCGGAGGAAGAAGCTCACGGCACTCGAAGAAGCTGAATTTGACGATAGAGATGACGAGAAGGGTTTCGAGCGTGAAGCTACTATGCGAAATTTCGAAAGCAGCAGGATCTTCAGGCCCCGTCTACTCATCAGTGGTCTCCAAGGCATGGGTCAGCAATATCTTGGCGCTGCGTTGTTGAACAGGATAGAGGGATTGCATGTTCAATCCTTTGACCTTCCAACCATCTTGGAAGACTCGACCCGAACGCCCGAGGCAGCCATCACGCAACTGTTCACTGAAGTAAGGCGACACAAACCCAGTGTCATCTATATCCCTGCAGTCGACGTCTGGTACCAAACACTACCCCCACAAGCGGTCAAAACGTTCAAGCTTCTTTTGCGAAGTATTGGCGCTAATGAGCCGATCATGGTTCTGGGCATCATGGAGCTATCGGGTGAAGATGAGAAGCCTGACCGACAGATGATGATGGATCTCTTCTCATTCTCACAGTCGAACCAGTTTCAACTCAAGCGACCGGACCAAGAAGGCCGCTCGGAATTCTTTAACAACATCAGCCACTACATCCGCATGTCTCCTGCAGATTTTCCCGATCCTGATAACAGGAAGAAGCGCGTACTGCCTGAGTTGGAAGCCGCTCCCATCGTTGAGCCGGTTATTGATCCTAAAGAACTTGCAGCTCGCGAAAAGTGGCAGAAGAAACAAGACAGACTCACACTCAACAAGATGAAGATAGTCATCCAACCCATCATGGATCAGTTGAAGAGGAGCCACAGGAAGTTCTTCAAGCCAATTCTGGAAGAAAGCTGGTACTCTTATTTGCTTGAGGAACAGGACCCTGACTTTGTCCGGTCAGACTTGCCACACGACGAGCAAGAAGACCAGGGTGCCATACGACCATGGGAGTTCTCTAAAGATTCCAGGGGCGTCGACGTCCTTTTGCACGTGGAGAGTGGGAACAAGTACTACAACTTGGATCTCAGTACCATCGAGAAACGCCTTTCGAACGGTTACTACAAACGCCCGGCAGATTACCTCTTTGATATCAAGACTCTTGTCAAAGATGCTAAGACTTTTGGAGATGCCGAACGAACCTTGAAGGGCAATGAGATGATCACAAACGTCGAGGTTGACCTAGACAACTTTTTCATGCAGCAAAATCCCGGTCTGCTCGCAGAATGTGAGGCAGTATATCAGCGCGAGCTCGAGAGAGAGCGCAAGGCCCAAGAGAAGCGGGAGAAGGCCATAGCGGCAAACAAAGAGTTTGCTGATATTGCCCGGGTGCCCCCTGAGCAATCAATCGGCACAACGGAGACCTCAGGGCCTATTGTCTTGGGTGAACCCATTCCTGGACACTTGGCTATGCCACCCGTGACTCCATTGCGGCCAGTACATGCCGTGGAGTTATCCAACGGTACACAGCACGGAACCAACGGCTCTACCGCGCCTTCCAACGATGACACACACATGACCGACAGCCAAGATCTGAATATCAATACGCAACACGATTTCCAATTCCAAACTCCAAGTAGGATTGACACCCAGGGAACTCAGACGCAGAAGTCGCAGATCGCGGGCCGCACATTCATGGCGCCGAACTCGCATCCCAATGACTACCACAACAGCGCTTCCACGACGACTTCTGGTCAAAAGACTTCGCACAGGTCTTCAGACAACAAGTTCAGTACTCAGAGTAGCAACGGCGTTGCCCCCTCGGGCATCCCCAACTTTTCGGAGATGCTGCCAGAACAGAGTGGCTCACAGCTTCCTGACACACAAGGTTCGCCAAATTTCTTTGCTCGACGCTTCCAACTCTCGCCCCGTATCTCCCCAGCACCAGCAACTGACCACGTCCCCAAAACAGAAGTCCACTACGTCAGCAGTCAACCGTCAAACTCTCAACCCTCGCAATCACCGCAATACGTTACTTCCATGCCAGCACCTGCACCTCCACATCACTCGAATCTCAACCAGATTTTGAACGATGAGGAGCCAAAGCCTCAGCTCATTATCGACGATACGCTGGTTACAGCCCTACACAACAAGCTGGTGCAGTCTACATCCGGCTGCTCACTCGAACAACTAGAGCAAATCAATGCCGCGCTTATGGATGCCATCTGGAAGCACCGATCCGACTATAACCGCAATGTTGTCCTCAAGGAGGTCACCGAAGCGTTCAACGTCATTATCAACGATATCCAGGCCATGCAAGAGATCCTTAGATCGAGCCAAGAAGAAGAGGAGGCGGAAATGCGAAGACAATACCCGTCTACGCAAGACGACTGGTTCTCCCAGACACAAGCGCGTCGCTAGAGTCCCAGCAATTGCTTTGTACATACCCCCCTCTTCTTCCCTTCTTGGTTTAGATTGTTGGGGCTGTTGGATGCATTCACCCATGCATGGCGTTCTAGGCATAACGGAGAACATGTTGGGGGAGGCTGTTGCGTCTTTTTTTGTTGGCATACACGCACCTTTTCTAAGGGAGTTAGAGAAAAAAAAAGGAGTTGTCGTGCTGTTTATTTCTTCTCTAGGTTGCTATACCACTACACCACTACTACCCATGTACCATGATTTTTTTCCTTATTTATCCCCGTTTTCTTGCCTCTCTACTTTTGTAAGATTCGCTGGATTGCATATCTCGGGACGGCGGGGGTTGTCTCTTCCCCCCTTTTGAATGTGTGCGGGCTTAGTTACTTCTGGAGATATTTGTACGGCGGGAGGTTTTTTTGCGTAGTGTGTGTAAGAATGAAGAAGATGATTTGTTCCAGTAAAACTGATAAACCCCAGTTTTTGTCTTTCTTGGTTAGTTTGTTTGTTGTTGAGTCTTGTTATGCATTGCTGAGAAGAGACTTGGTTTCAGCATAGACAGTGATCGAAGAATCAGGCTATATTACTACGTACAAGATGCCAAGGCAACTACTTACAGACATGACTACATGATATACAAAATATATACAGTAAAAATGTATCCTCATCGGCTAAACACACAATACGCTTCTTCAGAACCACCTCCCCTTTCGTTGGAACGAAAAAAAAAAGAATAAAACAAAATAAAGAAGAGAATATGGTCGTATCGGCATATCTACCCCCATCCCCTATTCTAACCCTTTCTCTTGATCTATCACAACGAACAAGTGAACGCCTGGAAATCACACTTGAACGGATCTTTGCAGTCGCGATGGCCCGGGTCGCTACACGGCCACCCGGGGCACCCCGTGATCGTTGGCCCACAGCAGTACGTCACAGTGTTGGGCTCTGTGTAGCAGATGTTTGGCGAGCATTGTGCGTCCGCGGTGCAAAGGGCGCCGGGTGTGAGGAAGGCAGCGTAGGACGTTATGGCTTCTTTTCGGGTCGGGGAGGGAGACTGGATCGCTGGAGCGAGAGGCTGGGACGTTGGAGAGGGCGAAGGTATGGGTGTTGGAGAGGTGACACTGGCGATGCTTGAGAGTGCGGTGGCGATTGCGGACGTAAGAGGGTATAACGAGGCTGGAGTGGTGGGCTTTTCGGGTGGAGCGTCCAAGGTACTTGGGGACAGTGGGAAACTTGTGGGAGGCTTGGGATTCTCCTGCTTGCTTGTTAGCTGGTCGTTTTGGGATCTGGACTTGGTGTGCTCACTGATTCGCTGTTGGTGGAGGCTCCAGTGCTCTTATGCATGAGTGTGAGGGGTAAGGTGATAGCCACAACTCCAATCACAGTTAAACTTGCCCCGACAAACACCATAAACACTCATGGTCGTTTATGATCTTTATCTGAATCCCCAACTATGAACCTGTTGTCCACTTGTGGCCCTCTGTTTTCGAAATGAGAGTTGTTGTTCGGATTGGCATTGCTGCTCGGATTAGCACTGCTAATCGGGTTGGCACTGCTACTTGGATTGGCACTGCTAATCGGGTTGGCATTACTGCTTGTATTGGCACTGCTACTCGTATTGGCCGTGTTGTTCGGATTGGCAGTACTACTCTGGACTGTATCTCCCCTAATATCACCGTTACCGATCTGGTTCGTTCCAGGGATGTGATTATGCGTCATCTCCAATTCCATGATGAGATGAGATGTTGTATTGTGACACTGAAAGGTAAATGTTATTGGATTAAGTATATGATAAGGCTGAGTACCCTCCTTGCATACGTTTGAGTACCGAAGGAGCAGAAAGTCGAGGGCGAGGGGCTGGAGAAGTAGCACGGCAGGCCTGCGTTGGCATCACAAATTTCCTTAAGTCAACGTAGCCTATCTTGGCTATGAAACAGACTCCGAGTATCGGAGAGTTACTCCAGCAAATGATACAGGGTATGTTTCCGGTGAAGACATAGGGGTAGTGTGTCCTGTGTTATCTCTTGGTGAAGGACTACCAATTAAGACTGCAGGTGTTGTATCTGCCACATGACCAGCGCTTAAGCAGTGACAACGAGGCCCCCTCGAGGATAATTTTAGTGACAATCACGCTAACCACAAATATATCGAAACGGGTACAGACTACGCTGGCTATGAGGGCGAAATGATCCTTTCATTGAGACATACCCCGACCTGATTAGTATGGACAACAATAGGAGAAACCCTGTAGCTTAAAATACTGTGAGGGGCATGGTAAATCTATCTTATTTGCTAGATATTTGGAAAAAAGTTGTGCAGGAAGGCTGTGTCACGTTGCGGCTGCATTTCGTGTAACACTACGAAAGGCTCTGCACAAACTAAGTCATAGCACAAGATGCTGATTTCTGCCTTGCAGACCACTCTGAAAGGATACCCGAGGTCAAAATTCACCGGAAAGTAGTATTTTGAGAGGGCCTTGTGGTGCCACGTTGGTTTCGCATGTGTATTGATGCGATAGAAAGGCTAGCATGGGTTCGCTTATAGCCACCAACTTGCTGTGGCTGCATATTCTTCAACGTGGACAACGAAAATCAAGTGGCGGTTTCTATTTGATTGATTTAGCCTGGCTGATGGTCCTTCATCATCAAATTTCCGTGAACCTGTCCCGTCTTCAATACAATACAAATATGGAACTCGTTGGCTGTGCAGCAAGCGTTAGCCAGCTCCTGGTCTACTTATCCTCATCGGCTACTAGCCTCCAGAGACTTTATACTGAGCTTATTCACTGTAACTCGACTTACCGTGACGAAGCAATAAATATCAGGCTATTACTTCATACTATTCAACGCCTCGGCCAGCAACAGGTCAACGACAACGACGACCACAGTCCCGTCCTCCCTGTTCTGATATCCATATCTGGTATCGCATGCCAAGTGCTACACCTCCTTAAACCAAAGCGAATCTTTGGTATCGACTGGGCGCCAGTCACGTCACAAGACAAGATCAGCTCAGCGTTCGAGACACTTGATAAGAAGAGGAATTTGCTCCAATTATACATTTCTCAAGAACATCAAGAAGCCCTCCTGGATCTTCGACAGACGGTTGAATCATCTTGCAAGAACATTCGTGTGGAAACCCCTATAGTAGGGTCAAATAGAAAGAGTACATCTCACAGCGCTGAGTATACAACTGGCGCATCCATGGACCCGCATCCGAATCAACCGGCTGGACAGTCTACCAAAAGGCTCAGAGTAAGGCTTTTTTTCTCTAGGATTGATATATATCAAAACTGACAACAGTATAGATCAAGATGACAGGTGCCAAAATAGAGGGTTACAACTCAATGTTCAACGGCCACAAGGAAGGCGACATAGAAGGCGAACTTGGAGACTCGACTTTCGGATCGACCGCGGGTAATTTCGTAGGAAACGCAAGTGACGAAACCGAAAGAATGTTTTTACAATCTAGCCGTTGCAATCAAGGTTGTTCACATCCAGACTATGCCTACATGCCGGCCAGGGCGCCGCCAAGCCAGGGAAATCATGCTAGAGAAGCGAAACCCAGGTTCCACGATATCTCTAGCGATCGATTCATCTCATCACGCGACTCATCATCTTATCAAGGAGCCGATTATAGGGCGGAGGTTCGGGAGCCGTCGTGGCATGGTACCCACCATGCACAGCATTTAGAGCGAAATTTCACCAGCCAACAATACGGTGCCCAACAGGTACAAGGCCCGGAACGTGACACTGCCAGCCCACGGTACAGCAATCGACAGGTACAGGGCCCGGAACGTGACATCGCCAGCCCACAGATGAACGAGAGCAGATTGAGACATCCCGACCACAATCGGGCTGAAGAAGAGACGGAAATAGACATCCTCCCGCGAAGAATTGAGAATACCAATTCAGGTAATATACAATGAGAGTTCCCAAGCTAGTCGTCAAGCACAATTGCGGGATTGCGGGAATGGGTTGCGGATCAACGATACACCAACTGCTTGAGGGCGCACATCAAGCAAGGCATCGGGTATGGTTTTCGAGATAGTCTTTCTCATAGGGTGTTTGTTGGAGTGAAGGCATCGTTATGGAGGAGAGTTGGATACACATGTGCCTTAGGTGGCCAAGCCTTTCAACAAGGTCATTTCTTAGGCACAACATCCCTTCTTTCATTTAGAATTCATTTTGATTATCAGTCCTGAAAGCGCATACGAGATCCTTGACATTCACTTCACGTAGAAGCTCGGGTATTTCTCTCTTGAACTTCACCCCAAGGTCGAGCCTTCGCCTGGGGCAGATACTTGTTGGGGAGCCCGCTATGGGATGGGGTGCCTATTGTCAGGAAGACTATGGCCTCGATCTCATCTTCTTGACTATATTAGTTGTTTCCCTCATTGCTAGTTTGCTCTTTGCCATCCTTTGGTTACAGTTTCAGTTTAATGTCCAACGAGCGTTTGCCGTTAGTGCATGGATCATGTCGATTCTCGCTGCTCTACTCGTTGTTCTAGTTCTTGAAACTGAGAAGTAAGCTTAGTATGAATGTACATTTCGAGTTATCGAATCGATTTCCCTAAGTCCGCAAACGTGCAATGACAAATGCTGCAATAAGATATATACACTGCATGACGAGTTAGCATGTTGTATATCTGATTAACGATATTACTTACAGCAGAGAAAAAGTACGGTAGGCCAACACCAATACCCCCAAGCTTTATAGCCTGTACCCACAGGACAGTCATCAAAGGAGCGCCGACCAACGACCCAAGCGTCTTTGTCAACATGACTATACTGAAGTCCTGGACATCCGAATGCGCCAGCGCAATAAGAGGTGACTTAACCAGCGACATTGTAAAAACCGGCAGCGCAGAGCCAAGAGCATATACAATCAAAGCTAGCAGTGAATGTCAGCATACCTCCACCCCATCATCACCATCCCATGTACGTACCAGCAAGCAACATCCAGAACCTGGACGCTAGTGCCACACACAGCACGCCCACCACCGAAACCGCAATGCTAACTTCTGCACCTATGATATTAAGCCGTACTTCCGACCCGTGAACTGTCTTGGATGACATAGAAGTCCGGATGATGCGCGGTACAATTATAGCTAGTAACGTGAAGTTAACCAGTGCTTTGGCGGAGAGCATGTAACCTGCCTGTGCAAAAGTCCATTCATACCGCTTGGAAATATACTGCACCAGAAGCTTCGTATCAGAACTCGCCAGCGCAGTAAGAAAGAAGGAGCAAAGCAGGACTTGGAATTTGCGGCGGCCAGTAACGAGACGTCTCATTTTGCGTGTTGCATGCAGTATACTTTGTAAGAAGCTAGCGTGCGATTCGAAATCCTCAGCGTGTCTAGTTGAGCTAGTTGACCTGCCTTGTAGTAATGGCCCGGCTTCTTCGTCTGGGTCTTGAGAAATGGGATCCGGGGTCGTGGAGAGCGTAGGTGTTTTTGAAATCGAAGGGAGCAAGCTGATAGTTGGTATGGCGCAGAGTAGAAGAGCAATATTAAGCCAGAAGGGGAGCCAGAGGCTATTGCTCATGGTGAATGCGGCTAGAGTTGGTCCAAGAAAGGATACGATGTAGGATGTTGAGCTGATGTAGGAGAAGTAGGATGCTCTTTGGTGAATTAGTTTCTCGTGCTACGAAATCTTTGAAAAGAATGGTGACTGGATGGTTTACATACCGTTCCACATACTCACTAGCCAACGCCGAAGTTAGCGTGAAGATTGTGGATTGAAAAACGCATTCGCCTCCAAGGACATTTACGAATGGGCCAGCAATAATGGCGTTGGTGGGGAGGATATGTGGAAAGTTTCCTGACACAATGTTTAGAACGAAATCACATGAGATGTGGCAGAAAGGGTAATGAGAATACATACCAACAAGCATAGCCCAAGCACTCATAAAGATCCTTGGCACCAAATTACACAATAGTACAATCTTGACGCCCCATCTCTCAGCAACGAAGCTGAACGGTATCGTTACGATGAAGTCTATGAGTACAGTGTCAGCATCGTGATTAGCCGCCCTCTCAAAGAGATCTAAGAGAACAACTTTCATAAGCACCCACATACCACAAACAACAAGCGTCGTCTCCATAGTACCCTGTAACCACGCAAGACGACGCTGTACATCATCTATTTTACACAGCTTCTCTGGTATCGAGCCATCAGGCTGTATGGCCAATGGATCACGCAACTCGTAATGCGCCTGACACAGACGAAGTTCAATCACCCGATTGAGCGGAAGCGTATACAAAACCGCTGAAAGATGGACAAGAACGAGTAGGAGTACTAACGGCCATATTGCGCGTTTGTGTCCTACTACTGTAGATAGGGGAATAGAAGCACGACGGAGCGGAGGCGACGGCGTGCGCAGAACCCTGCGACTATGAATTTCAGACATTTATTACGTACAATGCGAAAATCTACACCACAGCTCGCATCGTCACGACTGCTTGTCTCGTGTGTCTGGGCGTATAGTAGCCATCCCCCCCTTCCCTCCCTCCCCTTATCGCGAAACCTCACGATAAGCCACCACCCACGTGATTACGATAACGCACCTCTCAAGTATCCTCTGTAACTCACCAGCATCAACACCTTTCCCACTCGCCACACAATGCAACCCCATCCAACTCCACCTCACCTAATCGCCCAGGGGAAAACCGGGTGGATCCCGTACTAATCCCAGCAGCATAACAACCCAACCAAGGATATTATTACCGGCGTCCCAGTCCAACCAATCCTCACGTATTTTTCGTTCCTTGGAATTTCCGGATTCCGACAGCGGCAAAGCGGGAATGAAGGGATTATCCCAGTAACACAACGGCCAACGCATTGGGCTGAACTTGTTTCCACTTCCTTCCACGGAAGCAGGTAAAGGGGAGGAGGGCGGGGGTTAAGGTAAGGTTAAGGGCAAACAAATTACCACGCAATTCTGTCCCCCCCTAAAAATAAACCAGTAATCCTACCCTATTTGGTACGACCTCAACGAACACAAAGGGTTATTATCATTGGGATGTTTATGATTATTATTGATCATCAGCATTTCGCTACTAATCTCCTACTAGGTATAACTATTTCCATATCTCTCCCGCCAAGTATAAAAAGTAAAGAACAAAACAAAAAGAGGGTGTAGCTACACTACCCCCCCGTTCAAAGGGAACAAACACCCTTTCGGGACCCACACAACCGCTGAACTTGCCTTTTGCTCAAAGTCATGCTTACTACCCTCTTTCCCAAGTAAGATATAAACCCGCGGAACGCAGAGGAGAGGGTGAGACGAATAGCAAGTCGTGGCTGGGGGGTGGTGGGTTAGGGGGAAGGCGGGCGCAGGCTTCTCAAGGGTACTTCCTTGCGGGCAAAACTGTCTTGATTGCCCAACCCCCTCTCTCTTTCTCTCTTCTCCACTCCCAAAATACACTTGCTCAAGGTATGTAAATTTACCAGGTCCGTCCTTGGAAAACAGGTCATGCCACGTCTGCGTTTGCCAACCGCGCTTCGGGGACTGTTTGTGGTCCTGTGGGCTACGAGGAGCGTGACCGTATGCGAAACTGCGGGCATACGCAATCGTTCAGAGTCTACCAACTATTGTCCTCCGGGGAAGATCTCTCAAAAGGCTATGTTCTGCGAGATGTTTTTTTTCCTGGGGGAGGTGGGAGGTGGTGTGTACCCTGTAAATGTTCGCCTCATGTTTGGGCCCCTTGGAGGAGGAGTATGTGCGTCACACACACACACACACACCCTCCCCGATGACCTGCCCACCCTCCCTTCTCTCTCTGTGTGTGTGTCTCTCTCTCTTTCTTGTTCCCTTTCCTGTCTATCTCACTTGCTTTTTCCATGCACAACAGATAGATATAGGACTAGCGCGGTACCGGCAGCCAAGACGGCGAGCAGCAAAAGCACAAGTACAATTGTGGCGCGGACTTTATTCTGCATCCATCCTGCGCGTAGTCGGCTGTGTCTGGCCCTGGTACGCGGGTCCAGTGCAATGTAGTCTCTTCGCCAAGGAATGCTGTCGAAGATTTCGAGCGATTCAATCGAGGCTGGAGACGGTGGGGCGGACGTCGGATCGCACTCGGCATATCGCGGACAGAGCGTGTTGTTTGCAAATGCCGTGTCGTCGTCGGTGTAGGGCGAGAAGATTCGGTAGCCTCCTCCCGTGGGGGTGCTTGTTGCTGTAATGGAGATCTTTGAGCGTGTTAGTGAAGTGAAGGGCCCCGCCCAGGCGGCCGTGTGTTGGAATACTCACTAGAGGCATACTCGCCAACATATGCATCGAAATGACGTGAATTGTAGTGCTTGACTGCTCGATGGGCAGAGCATGGCAATCTTAAAGACTTCAAGTTGCATTGCTGACTGTGAAACCTGTGGCAAGTGGACGTAGCTTTGCGTCGCATAACGTCAAAGCATCCACTCGCCCAACGCAACTTGCTGGGGCCATCACAGGCTGAAACACATAAACATGGATATACCAGAATAGAAGCGTGTAGGGAGAATCAAGTGGTGAAGGGCGACCGTTTCTATAGCTATTTGATGTTCGTAGCGCTTCCAGCCCCGCTGTCAAGTACAATCTAGACGTCAACCATGCTTGTAGCATGCCACGCACTCTCTTCACCATCCCACCAAACACGCAAAAAAGACAAACGTCGGACACCCGTGGAACAAAAAAAGGGGCCCGAAAAAAAGATTCCAATTGAGAAAAAAAAAGAAGGGTATCTCTGCTCGCTTAAGCAAACAAAATCTGCGAGTGAGCTTGATTGTGCTTGCTTGCTTGTATTCCAATTTCACCCTCCAGCCGCTTTTCCTCCCCTCAAGCCGTGAGTGCAGGTCGGAAGACCCATATTAGATGGAGACAATGTCCAAGAAGAAGGGTGCTCGACTTGACCTAGGCCCCGCAAACCAAGCCACTGACCAGAGCAAGTAGGCCAAGAAGCGGGCGAGGGTGCAGTATTTTTTTTTGGTCGGACTAAACAAAAGAAAATGCTTGAAACAGGAAAGGGGTGTTCTTTGATATCGCAGAATAACAGGGAACAAACGCTTGGAGATGCTAGAAAGGATTACCGTGCAATGAGGCACATGTACGAGTGTTTTTGGTACAACGCAACCCTCTTGGACAATGACGAGACAGGCCTAAGAGGGTGGAAGTGCTTTTGACAGAGAGGATGACCAGCCACTACCTGGCTCAAGTAATTGCTTACATGTGCTGGGGGTGGAGATACTGGTTGTGGAAGTATTGACCTTGATGTTGCGGTGGCGCATGCTCCGACGTAGGTGTGGTGGGATACAGAGAAGCAGGCTGTGACTTGACAACGTGACCATATGTGAACTGCTCGCCTTCTGGTGTGATTGGCGGAGTAGGGCATCCGTTCTGCATGACAGAGGCGTATGGGTTCTTGTTAGGTGTTTGAGGGCCAAACGTTTCCGAGGCAGGCTTGGGCTCGTCGATGACTACTGTGGGTGGCGGTGTTGGCGGAGCTGCTTGTCGGCGCGCGATCTGTGCCTGTCGCTGAAGGAACTCATCGACGGTAGCAGACACGGCTGACAAATGCATCGAAGCATACTTGCGAGAGAGCACAGGGGATGGCTGGTACAGGTGGTTGGACAGGCCAATGACGGTTTGTGGGTCGTAGGCACCAGACCAGTCGGTGTTGCGTGCTTGTGGTCGCGAAAGGATGCACCTAGCAAGAGCGAGAGCCGATCGTGCGAGGACTGATGGGCGCGTGGAAACAAACTCCTTGTGGAAAAGTGCAATCTCAGCAATGTAAAGCGTCAAGTGCTCAACCTCGGCATCGTATGGGGCCTCGGACAGGGCAATCTGGAGGAATGCATCGACTGTGGTGTGTCCAATCATCCAGTTGAGAGTCTGTAGCACGTGCCACTCCATCTGGGTGAACATCTCATCGTCATACAGAGAGCAGCACATGGACTTGAGTTCCCGTACCGTAGGTACACGATCTTTCTTGTCACCGTACTTAGCAGCAATGAGGAGAGCAGCACATCCGACGAGCTGGTAGTGGCGCTTGTAGACGACACGACGGGAGCAGTAGCGATCGAGAAGGTTGACGGCGAGGAACAGAGTCTCGGGGAGGAGCTGGAATGCAGCGTGAGCTTCGACCAGGAAATCAAGGAGATATGGGCGCATGAACCACTGGATCTCAGTCTGGATGTCGATGGAGTTTACATCGGGGAGGGTCTGTGATTCCATGTGCATCATGTGTTGCATGATATCCTCTTGGTACTCATCGGCTGTGAGCCTGGAAAGCTCTTCAGCAATGGCTCGTTGTTGCATCTTGGATACGGCTCGGTGCCTTTCTCTAGCCTCGGCTCGCATGGCATAGACACCATCGTCATGTGACTCGACAAAGTACGAGTCGCAGTTGCCGTAGCGGGACTGCTGTTGCTGTTGCTGGTTGTACGCCATTGTGAAGTGGTGTCGGTATGTCAAGGTGGTGGTCGTCAGGTCTCCGGGATAGACGTGGGTTATATAGTGGTTGAGTGAGTGGATAGCTTCAAATGGTGAGCTGGATTAGAGAGTGGCAGCCTAGAGGGCAACGAGTGTAGAGACTGGTATTAGTTGGTATAGGTGAAGGTCTGTGGTCCGATTTGGTGAGTGCGTAATATATCGGGAACCAGTTGTAGTGGACAGAGCCTGGTCCAATCGTGTTAGTGGTTGATCAAAGCTACTTGACAGGACGCCAAGACCTCGTGCCCGTGACATACCTTTACAGAATTAGTGCTATTATGTTAGTGAGCGAGTGAGGTGTGTGCAAAAACACAAAAAAAGACAGTGGAAGAAGTCGAAGAGGGCGAGTTCCTTGCTAATTGCATCCAGAAGACAGATTGAAATTGAACGGGGTCTCGAAATGGGGCAGAGCACGAGCTAACGAGTCCGCCGGGTTGGGTAAATCGCCAGAAGATGGATTACAATACAAAGTATCCGGAGCGGGATACTAGGTCTAAGCAAGGGTCAGTACAGGTCATGAAAACTTCATAATGGTGAGAACCTACGTTGCAGGTCCTGTTCGGCGCTGGTGGAAGCTTGGTGCGGCTGGTGGCAGACAGTCTAAAGAGGGAGAATGGTCAGTGTTTGTTCATGTGAAGAGGCAAAAGCCTGGACAGGTAGAGAAACAATTTCCGGAAGAGGTTCTGACTGGCGATACAAGAGGCAGTGGTCGATGGTGGGAGAGTATTGGTAGTGGGCGCCTGACTAAGAGCAGAGCGGCTTGGTCGGATACGGAGCAACGGTAGTGCCGGCAAGGTCAGGTGACGGGCGGTGAATGGTGAAGAGCAAACCCATATCGCGCGCTCACCAATCACCCACGGCAATGAGCCACGGAGTACCTCTGGTTTACGGTCGATCTGTAGATGTCGGACGTGGCATCATGACGGACGCAGACATGTCATGCAGTTGTGATTGCAAGGGAGTATCGTGATATTGCCGAGGTGGCCTCTTGGTCGATGGTACAACGGGCAAGAACAATCCGCACGCCTGGAACGCAACCAAACGCCCATACCTGGCCCTTCCAGACACAGTTCCAGCAGAGCCTCACACGTCGACTCCAAACATAACCCCGTCCGCCTCTGGGCTGCCCTTACCAATCTCTCACTCGATCACTTGCCAAGCCACCTCCTTCCAGCTGACTCAACCTCGCTTTGATCCATGAGGGTAGGCGCGTCGAATACGGTACGGGAGAGGATAACATCGGTCGCAGGATCCAAAGACAAATAGGCCGGGGAATGCGGAGCTAGATGGGAGAAGAAGGGATTTGACCTACCGAGATGAGAGCCCAATTGTCACACGCGAGGCTGTTGATACAGAGGGGTCTTGAAGGGGGGGAGGTTGGCGGCTGTATGCGGAGCGAAGGACTAGAGTTACAGCGAGTATCTCTACGTCCAGCGAGAGACGAGGGAGGGAGGGAGTCGGCGGATGAATGGGTAGCGGTGGAGGGCACAGGGAGTCTGGTACTCTTCACGGTCCTATTCGAGGAGAGACGGCGGTCGGGAGTGGGTGACCGAGAGCAGGAGGTGGGGAGTTTTATGGAAAGAGAGGGGCCGAGAGTGTCAGCACCACATCAGATCCAAAGTTTCTCCGTGCTCGACCGTAATGAAAGAGAGGATATGGGAGGGAGGGAGAGGAGAGGGAGAAGAGAGAGCACGATACAGACGGAGGCAGGCTGGAGAAAACGAGTGGGCGAGCAAGGCCCTAGGAGAGATGGACTAGCCGGATGCGGGCGACGGCAGCTTGTACAGCATGGGAACAGGGAACCTCGTACGCCCAGAGCGCACAGCCAACCGATGCATGTTCCGCCGCCGTCGTGCCCCATTGTGGATCAACCATGGCGTTTTCTACGCCTGGGAAGCTTCGTCCAGGAACACGCTCGTTGAACGCGTGCTAGTCGTGTCTGTGTGCTGCGCCAAATGTCACTATTCAATGTCGCGGCTCCCGCTGGCTGTCGCGACACAGGCGGCGCTGTGCGTGGGTGTGAGTGGGTGAGAGTGGGTGTGTAGAGCATGAGCGTGGATGCAAGGAGGGTGCGTGCTGACTATTTGCTTGTTCCCCAACGCACCATGGCCGCCCAAGCCAGCAGCAGAGGCAGAGGCAGAGGCAGAAGCAGCCAAGTATTATCATCTACAGCAGGCACGCAAAGTATGGGATGGATGGATTTGGATAGATGGATGGGATGGGATAAACGGGCAGGGCGGACGGGCTTGGGCTGAGCTGAGCAGTGGCTGCACCGTGAGCATGTCGTCTGCTCGAATCAGCGCCGTGGGCCAGGTCCGGTGAGGCCACTCATGCAGAGCTATACAAGGTTGCAGCATGGCCTGCGAGGGCTGTCCAATGTCTCTCCCCCGCCCGCGCAGCGCACAGGAAACAAGATGCTCTGGACACGGCCAAGAGGCGAGCATAGGCCTAACCTAGCACTCACTCGCTGCGGTTTGCATTTACGCACCGTCGTGGTTCCCCTGACACACTATGCGCTGCTGAGGCTAGGCCTCGGCCAAGCGGGGGGCCCTTTGATGGCATATCGTCATCATTTGCCCAGCGGATGGGCTAACTGCTCCTCCTTTTACCACTCGGCCGCACTAGCTCCAGCAAAAGCAGCTTGCCGGCACGTTGCATCCTTGTCACGCGTCGTATCTTGCCAGCTGCGAATCTCCTCGACTGCCGCTTTGGCTATGCTCCCTCCCCT